GAAAATGGGAATGGGAAGTCCTCTTTGGGAAAGAATGTGTAAGTAGCTTTCTGCACGGACGCCAGATATTCAGGTGAAGTCTGCGTGGGGAGAGCCTGAGAGCATCCCCTCAGTGGCTGACAGGGTGCCTCTCATGGAGGTGACAGCAGCTGTGTCCATCTGTCAGTATAATGACATGAAGTGGCTTGAGGCATCAGAGAGTAGACACTCAGCTCTCAAGTACCACCTGATCAAAGACATTCACTTCCCAGATCAGCTGATCGGCTAAAGAAGTAGGCGTAGCTAAGTTGCTTTAAAGTTCAAAATTGGGGGATCCCTGGGTGGCTCAGCGGTTTAGCGCCTGCCTTCGGCCCAGGCCGTGATCCTGGAGTCCCGGGATTGAGTCCACGTCGGGGGAAACTCAGAAGACAGGAAAAGAGCCAGGCACTGGAAGACCTGCATGGAGCCTGCTTCTCCCTCTGCCTGTGTCTCTGCCTCTCTCTGTGTGTCTGTCATGAATAAATAAAATCTTTAAAAAAATAAAAAATAAAAAAAATAAAGTTCAAAATTGAGGCTGAGGGAGCAAAACGTACTTAACTGGGAGCTACTCAGCTCACAAATGCCAGGCCAGAGCAGGTCAGTAAGATACAGACAGGGAATTCAGGATCTTCCAGGGCAGGGCCAGTCTTTACTCTAAAACCTCCTCTCTACCCACCAATTTATAACACATCACCATTAGCATTCTAGTAAGACAGAGAGACTAGCAATTATTTTAGAGAAAAAAACAAGGAACGAAAGGACAAACAAGTGTCCCAAGCACTTGGCATTCACTGCAGACACGTTCACCGGGTGTTGCTCTGGGCGAGGTGCCCAGAAGGCTGCCTGGAAGAAGGGAAAGAGAAGGGCTCTGCAGGCAGACAGATGTGGGGTCAACTCACCAACTATGCAACTTCCGTTACCTAAATCCCTTTGGATCTCAGTTTTCTGTTTGCAAAATGGGAACAAAAACCTCCTAGAATCTGGCACCCATTAAAAAGTTGATGTATCATAAGTGCTTGGGCATAGGAAGCACATGGCAGAGGAGGAGGACCCCAGTGGCACCTGGGGGGGGGGGTGGAACTCCTTGCACAGGGCACTCTCTTCATCAATGAGCCCAAGGCTTTCCATGTGCTTCTTGGGTCGAGGGCCACACAAGGGACCCACAAAAGGTGCAGCAGAGAGAACTGTCATTGGGGTGGGACTGAGGGAAGACACCACCAAGGAGGCCTCCAAGAGTGGCCTCCAGTTGGCAGAACATGGGGAAGGCTACAGCAGGAGGTCGCAGCATGAGGAGGGAACAACAGCACCACAGAGGGCATAGAGGGAGCACTGGGGAAGAGCAAGGGTATATGGGGAAATGGTGCAAGTGTGGGAGAGCAAGCGGGCAAGGTCAGGTGGAGGCACAGGGGGCGTGGGAAATGCTAAACCAGGAGCAGTCGAGCTGGACATACTGAGGGGAGTGAAACAGGAGCAGCTGGAAGTTGCTGGAGCAGGGGGGGTGGTTGTGCGGAATGAACTAAGAGGGAGAGGCTAACTAGGAAGGGGGACAGCCCCAGCCCTGTGAACTTATGGATGTGGCAAGAAGGTGGCCAATTCCAGCAAACAACCAATGGGGGTGGGGTGCGGGGTTGGCAAGGGAGAAAAGAGAGGCTAGACTCTGGAAGGGTCCTGGTAGGGAAAGGGCATGCTCTGTGGGGAGGCCCTAAAACAGGAGCAGAGAGAAAGGATGCAGAAGACAATGAAGGCCAACTGGTGGGTTCCACTGACCCGTGTAGTAGGGCTCAAGGATGACCAATGACAGGCCACTGGGGTTAAGGATGGCATGATGCCCAGTAGCTTAAGAGACCACATGGTACAAAGGGGGTGAGGGACATGGGTCATATCTGGGGTCAGAGAAGCACAGTGGAGCTGTGGTCGGAGGCAGGGAGAAACAGAAATCACCCAGACGCCAGTGGAGGGAGAAATCAACCCTAGAATCCTCACTTTTCAAACGGGAAAGATTTGTATTCAGAGACTATACAGTGAAAGAGGTGTCACAGATCCTAGGGATAATGGAGCAGACCAGGAAAGATGCTGGGGACAGAGAAGAAACACCCCTTTCTCCCTCTGCAAACCTGCTGGCAACCACTTTACTCACCTTCAACTGGCCACCCATGTTCCAAGTGCACTTGGCACCTCAGTCCAACCAGAGCACAGCCTCATGCTCCAGGGGGCTCCCTGACTGCCACCCACCAGAAACTATCCTGGAATCATACCATGCTTGAACTTGTGTGATCCCTCAGCTGGGCTAAAAACACATGGAAGGGCTACACCTCCCACCTAGGGCAACAGGAACACCTGGCACAGAACTCCACATAAGAAGAGGTATAGAGAAATGTTGGCAGAGCTACCTAAGGAAGAAAAGCTGGTCATGCCTTTGACATATAAAGGAACAAGAAAAAAATATAGAAGTCAGAGACCTAAAGCTGTCACAGGCTCCTGGCTGACGGTCTCTTGCAAGGCCTCTTTCAATTCCACTCCCACCCCTAGCCCCATTCCCCACATGGAGAAGAAAAGCCACCTGTAACTAGCGCTCATAGGTGTAAGTCTCAGATTCCTGCTTCATGAGTTTACCAGACCCCCCCTGGGTGCTGGTCATAGGAACAAGAGGCCTGTACCTGCTCTCACTGGGTGCCTGGTCTAATGGGGGAGAAACAGCCATCTGTAGACCATGATTGGTGCTGAGGGGTGTGTGGAGGAGACACACTGCTAGTGCTATGGCAGAGGGGTCAGCAAAGGCCTCTGGAAAGAATGAGCTACCACCCAAAGACAGGAAAAGAGCCAGGCACTGAAAGCACCAAGAGAAGAAACTATGAAGAGAACTTCAGGAAGAAGGAACAACCAGTGAGGATACCCTGAGGTCAGAGAAAGCTTGGACTATAGGAGGAGTAGAAAAGCAGCAAGTATGGCTGCAGTGTGGGTACAGGGAAAGCATGAGGTGGGAGAGGGCAGGCAGGTACCAGACCAGCAAGGCTTCCTGAGAAGGAATTGAGATCTTATTCCAAAAGGTGCTAAGCAGGGCAGCACGGGTGGCTCAGCGGTTTAGCACTGCCTTCGGCCCAGGGCATGACCCTGGAGACCTGGGATCGAGTCCTACATCGGGCTCCCTGCATGGAGCCTGCTTCTCCCTCTCTCTGCCTGTGTCTCTTCCTCTCTCTCTCTCTCTCTCTCTGTGTGTGTGTGTGTGTCTCATGAATAAATATTAAAAAAAAAAAAAAAGGTGCTAAGCAGGTGAATCACATGACCGGATTCAGGTTTTCTTACCTTAATCCACAAGGGCAAACCACTGCCCTCCTCCGAAGCTAATCCTTCAACAGTAAAATAAGAATTCCCCTCCCCTTGTTGTGTGGATAAGTGCCAACATGTTAAGAAGCACTTAAACTCTAAAGCACTCAATAAACATTAGCCATTATTTTCATTAAAGTTCAAACTAGGGCTACTGTCAAAATGTGATAGGAATTCTAAAAAGGTTCCCCCAAAAAACTGGGAGCACTTTCTCATTAATCGAACCTGTACCCCCCTCCCACACACACACACCCTCAACTGTAACAATTGGCCAATAATAACAATACCCCACATCTGTAGAGCACCTAGTTTACATAGCACTTTCGTGTCTGCTATGAGAATGCTAGTCAATAACCACTGGTCTTTAATACTTTTAATTTAGTGACAGTGTTACAAATTGGCTGGTTCTTGCTAGATTTAGCAGGTGTGCATGTGTTCCTCCCCCGAACAGCAGCTGGTCATGGTCATGTCAACACATCCATCCGCTCTCTCTTAAGGTCTAGCATTCCTGCTGCTGTGGTCTACATTCCCATATGTCCCAATCTGCCAGAGAATTAAATGATGATAATATAGTATCACTGTGTGCTGTGATGTGCCTGGCACTGCACTACGCACTTTACATGCTTAATCTTCACGTTATCCCAATACTCCTTATATATCCATTTTCCAAATGAGTTCTAAACGTGTCGCTCAAGGAAACTCAGAGAAATAAATGATAGAGCCAAGAAATAAACACAAGATGATAATGACCCCGTGTCCTCACTCGTAATCCCACCTCTGTGCTAGATATACTTCAGACAAAATGCTTATCGTACGGTGCTTGGTACAACACGGGTATTCCGTCAACAGAGGCGGCTGTTATTAGCAGGGCACAGGTAGTTTCTACTTCCCATGAGAGTGTCACCTCCGGGAGAGCAGCGACCTTGTCTGCCTGGGGGACGGCTGCACTCCCAGCACGTCTGACGGAGAAATGAATGAACGTCCCTCCCAGGGAGCAGGGCTGCCTGCGCAAGGCTCCTTGTTGCACGCATCTGTCGCGCCACTGCTCCTGCCCCTTAGTAAGACCACCAAGCGCATCTGACGGCATGGAGAGGGTCTCGGGGACGTGCGAGCTCCTCTTTCTCGATTCAAGGGTGGCAGAAACAGCTCCCAAGGAAGGGAGGCGGTGAGTCCGGGATCGCGCTGCGGGAGGGTCCCGGCTCTGGCAGGGCTCTCCGCCCCACCACCCCGGCGGGGACACCGTCCGCCCCGGCGCTGGGACCCGGCAGCAAACAAAGACTCGCGGGGCCGACGCACCGGCAGGAAGGCTCACTCCCCTCGCCCACCTCCCCGAATGAGAGCCCGCGGCCACAGCGCCTCGCCCTGCCCGGGAGCTGCGGCGAAGGCCGGGCGCGGGGCCGAGCCAGGGCCCGGGCCGTGCAGACACAGGCAGCGGCCCCGCCTGTACGCCACCCGCAGAGGGTCGCCAGGGCGCGGGAGGCCGCGGGCTGGGCCGGCCTGTCACCTTCAGGACCGCCCGCCCACTCGCCCGCCCTCCGCGGGGGCGCCTCAGCGCGAGCCGCCGCCGCCCGGCTGGGTCTCCCCGCGCATCAGCCTGTCCGCCGCGCCAGCCTCGCGCCCCGCGCCCTCGCGCTGCACCCCCTCCCGCCGGCCCGTACCTGCTGGGAGAGCGGGATGAGCGGAGCCGCCATCTTCCCGCGGACTCGGGCTCCGAGCGCCGGGGAGACGGGGGCGGGGCCGCGCGTGCGCACGGGGGCGAGGGGCGGTGCGCGCGCAGCTGAGTCCGGGCGAAGGCGGGGCCGAAGCGGGGCTGCGCACGCGCAACCAAACACCAAGGGGCGGGGCAGGGGCGGGGCAGGGGGCGGGGCCGCTCACGCCTGGCCCAGCCGGGAGGGGGCGGGGCCGGGGAGGAGCGCAGGACCCCCAGCGCGCGCCAAGCTTACCTGCTCACTTACCCGCGGCCCGGCCCGCTGCCTAAGTCTGACGTGCTCTCGTTCATCCCCTTCCCGGTGCACCTGCCAAACGCCTTGTGGGGAGTTGTTGCCCACCCCGCAGAGGGTCAGGAACCCCGCGGTGCCCAAACCTCCCTGTTTCTAGGATAGGGGGGTGTGTGTGTGATAAGTTCCCAACTGCCACTTTCTGGCACAGTGACCTTGGCAAGTCACCTAAGTACTTTCTCTGAGCCCCCAGTCCCCTTCTGAAAAGAGGGGATGGTAATAGGTGTTTGCTGTTGTTCCCCCTCCACGTCTCACACTGTGCCTGGCACAGAGCTGGGCCTGATGTTTCCTGGAGAACCGATACTGGAGGGGACATTTATTGCTTTAGATGTTTTGTCTTCTATTGCCTAGGGACACACACTCATCTGTGGCTAGTTTCCACCAACAGGGCAGCCAAGCAGCTGACCACAGTGGCACAAGGTTTCCTTAGGGCAGGTGGGCCTCCCTTGCCTGGCCTCCTGTGATGGTCGCACAGTAAACCTAGCCAGGCAACCGTGTCTTGGGCAGGCAAGCCAGGAGGCCATGTGATCACAGGGGTGGGGCACAGGTTCCTGTCCACCTCCTCCATTTTGGAGTCAAGCTGCTGCTGGTCTTAATCAGACACCCATGAGCCAATAGCAATGAGATAAGACCATGTGTCATCTGATCCTCTCTTGAGACTGTTTTGCAGTCTTAGTTCCAAGTTTTCAAGTTTAACATGCTCCTTCACCCTTCCGTTCCATATATAAAGAGCAATGGGAAGCCACCAGAGGGTTTGAACACAATCAGATTTGTGTTCTAGAATGGTGACTCTCGCAGCAGGGAAAGTGGCCTGAGCACCGATGGATGGATGGATGGGGGTGGGCCAGCTGAAAAGCCAGAGCAGTGGTCCAGCTGTGGTAATAGAGGCTTTTAGCTGTCTTTTTTTTTAATTTTTATTTATTTTTTATTTATTTATGATAGTCACAGAGAGAGAGAGAGAGAGGCAGAGACACAGGCAGAGGGAGAAGCAGGCTCCATGCACCGGGAGCCCAATGTGGGATTCGATCCCGGGTCTCCAGGATCGAGCCCCGGGCCAAAGGCAGGTGCCAAACCGCTGCGCCACCCAGGGATCCCCTTTTAGCTGTCTTGACTCCTTTATCAGTCTGTTTTCCATAAGGAAACGTCATGTCATTCTAGATATTTCAAGCAGAGGACCATTTGATATAGGAGAATGAGTGTAAAAGTTTGGGAAAAACAGAACAGGAATATAAGGTTACCTAAAGACTAGTAACTGCAGGAAACTGCTAGCCCTTCTAGGGCTAAAGGTCAAAAGGGAAAAAAGTGTTACCCAAAACCCATCATCACTGGGCCCTGAGCAGGAACCCAGCTACTGCTGTTTTGCCATTGCTAAAGTCACTGCTGTTTTTTCTCACCACTGCCTAAGGTGCTGGCAGAAGCCTGAAAAAAGAAAAAAAGAAAAAAAAAAAGGCCTCTCCTCTCTGCCTGCCTTCCTGCTTCTTTGTGACAGAACATGACAGGAAACCAATGGGTAAGGGTGTCTGTGAAATGTCTGTCATATGCAGGCTTCCAGCCTTAGTGTCAGAACCTACAGAGGCAATGACCACAGAGACTCTCCTGCATCATCCATGCCTGGAAACAGAAGCTTGATGCTATGAGTCCCACCCAGCTAGCGGCCTGTGATTCCCTTTTCCTCCTGTACCCACCGCACCAGGCAGTGAGCCACCATCCTGCAACCTTTCTCATCAGAGTCCAGAGCTACACTGTCCAACATGGTGGCCATACATCATGTGTGTCCAAGAGGCAATTTGAATTAATTACAATTAAATAAGGTTAAAAACCCATTTCTCCATAGAATGTACAACATCAGGAGTGAATCCTAATGTAAACTATGGACTCTGGGAGGTAATGATTGTGACAACTATACCACCATGTTGTGAGATATTGATAGTGGGGGAGGATGTGTGGTGTACGAGTGGGAACATATGGGTACTCTTTGTGCTTTCTGCACAGTTTTGCAGTGAACCTAAAACTACTCTAAAACCAGTGTTTATTAATCTTTTAAAAAAATCATTCCTCAATCCCACTAGCCACATTTCAAGGGATCACGTGTGGCCAGTGACCACCATACTGGCCAGTGCAAGTGGGGAACATCTCTATCTTCACAGAAAAGTTCCCCAGGATGGCACTGCTCCAGGAGATGAGCTCCGCAGGATCTGAGCTGGTCTGACCCAACTTCATACAACTATTTCCAGCATTTTCCCTCTAAACCTGTCTCTGCTTCTTTCCTCAGTTCTTTCCTCAGTAGCTTCTTACCTGGTTGAGAGATTAAAGAGGTAGACTGTTGAATTCCATGCCTGCACTTCATGGAAGTGAGTCTTTCATTTCTGAGAGTGATAACCAACCCCCAAGAAACCATTAGCCATCAGTCAAAAAGTTCACATTTAGGGGAAGCTGGGTGGCTCACTCAGTTGGGCATCCAACTCCTGATTTTGGCTCAGGTCATGATCTCAGGGTTGGTGAGAGAGGCCCCTCATCAGGCTCTGTGCTGAGCGGGGGGCTTGCTTGAGATTCCCTCTGCCCCCCAACCCCCACCAACTCACATGCATGCATGTGAGCACGCGCACATGCGTACTCTCTCTCTAAAAATATTTTTTTTAGTCCACATTTGAAGGTCTGCCAACTTCAGCCAAAGTGAGAACAAAACTTGCCAGAATTTCACTTCATAGGCAGACTTTCCACATTGGTCATCCAGCAATGTGCCATATATAATTTCCAATGTATCCAGCTTATTTGTAATATCACTGGATTCCAAATTCCAGTGTCCAAATTTAGTGTCCTAAATTTTATTACTTCCAACACAGATTTCTGTATGAAAAAAGTTGCCTTCAAATCAGAAGACTAGGGCAGCCTGGGTGGCTCAGCGGTTTAGCGCCACCTTCAGCCCAGGGCGTAATCCTGGAGATCCAGGATGGAGTCCCATGTCGGGCTCCCTGCATGGGGCCTGTTTCTCCCTCTGCCTGTCTCTCTCTCTCTCTCTCTCTCTCTCTCTCTCTCTCTCTGTGTGTGTGTGTGTCTCTCATGAATAAATAAATAAAATATTTTTTAAAAAATCAGAGGACTGTTATGCATGACTTTTAAAAAGCAAATTATTGGGCGGCCCCGGTGGCACAGCGGTTTAGTGCCGCCTGCAGCCCAGGGTGTGATCCTGGGGACCCTGGATAGAGTCCCACATCAGGTTGTCTGCATGATGCCTGCTTCTCCCTCTGCCTGTGTCCCGCTTCTCCCTCTGCCTGTGTCTCTGCCTCTCTCTATGTGTCTCTATGAATGAATAAATAAAATCTTTAAAAAATAATAATAATAATAATAATAAAAAGCAAATTATTTGATCAAGGCAAAAAAATTGAAGTGAGAAATAATTACTATTTTCACTTGAGAAAATGAACTTCATTCCTGTCTTACAGAGAACAAAAGGCCACAGAAGTGGGTCACAGAGGGAAAAGAAGCAGTGGCTTCTGTATGGCACGTCAAAGGTCTGTGCACACACATCCGGGTTTTCCAAAATAACCAGTGTACAGGTGAAGCCTGCAAAACCTTTCTACACTAATGACGTTGTATAAAGTTTTCATATTGGAAAAGGTTAGCGTATGCTGTTGGTAATTTGCAGCCTGAAGAAATAAGGCATCATTTTTCCTTTTTAAAAATATGTTTTACCAACTTTTATTTATAAAACATTTTAGGGGCTCAGGAAAGAGCATCGTATCTTTGGCCAGACCCTTACCGGCCTCTGACTCCTAGCACTCAGGTTTGTCGAGAGACAACATCTTGGTACGCAGGGCTGAGGCTGACGGAACACCAGGCCAACCCCACTGAGAAACATAGGAACATTTTCAAAGAAAACTGGACAAATTACCACGTATGTTGACATTTGCACTTTTACATGTCGATTAAAGTAAAAGCAAGGTTTTACCAGTCATCTTTATCTGAGGTGGGAATGACTAAAGTTCATCCCTCTTATGAAATCTCTGGAAAATGTTTTCTTGCCCACCAAACCTGCCCATCAGCAAGTCCTGCTCATCTTCCTCACGAGCCTTCTTCACTTCCTCCTTGGCCTGTATGGCATCCATCTCCCTTTCGGGGCCCTTGGAGAAAGAAACAGAGACATGAGACATTAGCTGCTGGGGGTTATGTTTCCAGGGAGTGGACTGGGTGTCCACATTCAGCCTGCCTCTGCCTTCCTGCAAGCCTCCACACTGCCCCAGGGGCAGCTTGGATGAACCGCACCACCCTACCCCGAGGATGCCAGGCCCTAATCCCTAGACCTTCTCTGGGAAAGGGGTCTTTGCAAATATGATCAAGTTAAGTGTGTTGAGATGGGAAGATTATCCCAAACCCTAACTTCCATCACCAGTGTCCTCATGGGATACAGGCAGAGAGAGACTTGATACATACAAAGATACAAGAGGAACAGACCAATGTGAGACAGAGGCAGAAATTAGAGCCACGTGGCCACAAACCAAGGAGCATCAGGAGCCACCAGCGGCTGCAAGAAGCGAAAGAAGGATGCTCCCCTAGAGCCTTTGGTGGGAGCGTTGCCCTGCTAAGGCCTTGATTTTAGCCCAGTGATACTGGATTTTGGACTTCTGGCCTCCAGAACTGTGAGGTGATAATCTGTGTTGTTTCAAGCCAGCCAGTTTGTGGTAATCTGTTGCAAGAGTCACAGGGAATAAATACAACCCCCTCCACTTCTTTCTATTCCCAGAGTATCTGGGCCCCCATCCTTCAATAAGCTGAGCAGTGGATAGGCAATGAAGGAGTCCTCTGAGCCTAAGTGAGAAAGTCCAGGCACATGGGACCAACAGAAGGGCTGGGGTACAGGCACATCAAGAAGGTTTCCACAGTTGTTCTTGAAGAAGAACTTTAGTAAAGCTTTGCAGCAGAAATCAGATTTGAGAATAAATGGCTCACCATCAACAATATGAAAAGGTAACCTACTGAATGGGAAAAAAATAGTTGCAAGTCATATCTGAGAAGGGATTAATACCCGAGGTATAAGAACTTATACAACTTAATAGCAAAAAAAAAAGTCTGACTAAAAAATGGGCAGAGGATCTGAACGGACATTTTCCAAAAAATACATACAGAAGGCTGACAGGCACAGGAAAAGATGCTCAACAGCACTCATCGTCAGGGAAAGGCATATTATTTTTGTAAAAGATTTTTATTTATTCATGAGAGACACAGAGAGAGAGAGAGAGAGACATAGGTAGAGGGAGAAGCAGGCTCCACGCAGGGAGCCCAATGTGGGACTTGATCCTGGGACTGTAGGATCACACCCTGGGCTGAAGGCAGGCGCTAAACCGCTGAGCCACCCAAGCGTCCCAGGGAAAGGCATATTAAAACCACAATGGGATATTAACTCATACCTGTTAGAATGGCTAGTACCAAAAAAAAATACTACATAAGCAGTGTTGGCCAAGGATGTAGGGAAGTGGGTTCCCTCCTACACTGTTGGTGAGAATGTATATTGGTACAATCACTACAGAAAACAATATGACACCCTCTCCAAATTTAAAAATAGCAATACCATATAAGCCAGTAATTCTACTTCTGGCTATTTATCTGAAGAACATGAAAATACTATCTCAAAAAGACATCTGCACCCCCATGTTTATGGCAGTGTTATTTGCAATAGCCAAGACACGAGAGCAACCCAACTATCCATCGGCAGATGAAGAAAATGTGATAAATATGTATGTGTACGTGTGTGTCTACACACACAGTAGAATATTACTCAGCCATAAAAAAAGAATGAGATCTTGCCATTTGCAACACCATGAGAGCATTATGCTAAGTGAAATAAGTAAGACAAAGAAAAACAAATGCCATATGATCTCATTTATATGGATTGTTTTTTAAAAATGAACTTACAGAAACAGAGAACACATTGATGGTTGCCAGAGGCAGGGTTAGGAGGTGAGTGAAATGGGCGAAGGGGGGTCGAAAGGTATAAAGTTCCAGTTATGAAATAAGTCAGTCATGGGGATGTCATGTGGAGCATAGAGGATATAGTCAATGATATTGTAATAACTTTGTATGGTGACAGATGGTAGCGAGTTATGGTGGCAAGCATTTCATAATGTATATACATGTTGAATCACTATGTTGTACACCCGAAACTAATATAATATTGTACGCCAACTGTACTTCAATTAAAACAATAAGTAAAACACAGGCATTTCACAAAAAAGGATGTCTGAATGGCCACAAAAGCCATAAAACAGTGCCAACCTTCATTTGTCATCAGGGTAACACAACTAAAGCTAAAACTGGAGCTACTACTACCTACCTAGAGACACTCCCACTCCCCAGCACGGTGAGGATGGGAGGCAGCACAGCGCCCCTGGGAACAGCCTGGCAGTTTCTTATGGGGTTAAATATCTATTGTCGGACTCAGCTCTTCCTGGCTATTTATCCCAAAGAACTAAAAGCACACACATACACACACACACACACAAAATGTAAGCAAATATTTATTAGAGCTCCCTTCATCTCTCGAAGACTGGAAACAACCCAATTGTCTGCCAGCTGGTGAACAGATAAAAACCCCTCGGTAATACAAAGAAACTAACTACTGGGGATCCCTGGGTGGCGCAGCGGTTTGGCGCCTGCCTTTGGCTCAGGGCGCGATCCTGGAGACCTGGGATCGAATCCCATATCGGGTTCCCGGTGCATGGAGCCTGCTTCTCCCTCTTCTCCCTCTGCCTATGTCTCTGCCTCTCTCTCTCTCTCTCTCTCTCTCTCTCTCCCCCTCTCTCTGTGACTATCATAAATAAATAAATTTAAAAAAAAATAAAAAAAAAAGAAACTAACTACTGACTGCTACCCCAACAACATGGACGGATCCCAGACACATTATGTTTGAGAAGTAGGCTCAAAAAAGACCGCATGCTAGGTCAATCCATTTAAGGACACTCTGGAAAAGGTGAGACAATAGGGGCAGATACCAGATCAGTGGGGGCCTGGAGTGGGAGAGGGTCTGGCTACAAAGGGCCCAAGGAGAGTTTAAGGGTGATGACACTCTTCTGCATCTAGATTGGTGGTGGTGGTTTCACAACTGGATTCATTTGCCAAAACTCACAGGCCTCTCCACTAAAAAAGAGTGTCTTGCGGTATGTAAATTATACTTCAGAAATCTGACTCGTCAACAACTAACAATAGTACCAAGCAATAGCCAAAGATGTGGGTAAACTGAGACTCTCCCCTACCGCACAAGGAAGCAGAATATAGGATGACACTTTGAAAACTGTTTGGCTGCGTGGGATCTTGTGACCCAGCCTGTCCTCTCCTGGGCATACACATGAATGATGGTAATGGCTTTATTCATGAGGCCACAAGCTGGAAGCAATCCAGAGCCACATCAACAGAGAATGGGTACCTACCTTCTGGAATACTCACACGCTAAAACTGAGCTGCTGCCATATATGATAATATGAATCTCACACCACTGCCCAGATGAGTAAATATCAGGTGGCTCCATTTATACAAATTTCAAAAGGAAGTCAAATGGTTGTGTGGTGCTAGTTCCTTGGGGACGGGTGGCAGTTGGGAGGGGATGCAAGGAGGTTCCCGGAACCCAGCTAACATTCTGTATCTTGATCTGGGTGGGATGTTCACTATTGAAAAGTCATCAAACCCTTTCCTGTATGTTAGACTCAAGTACAGACATAAATGAATAATGAACAAAAAGTTCATTGTGTGCACTGTACCTTTGTTTCCCCCCAAGTAGCCTTGCCAAAATTCTCAGCATACTCTTCGTCATCTGTGATCAGGAAGTTATCGAAGATGGTTCCTGATCTCACCTGTGGATGAAAATGAGGCCTTCCTTACTGATGGGAGGAATATGGCAGCGTTCCACCAAGAAACAGTTGTATTTGGCTCAGTGCCGTCACAGTGATTGACCCTTGACAGTAGCACCTGCTTAAACCCATTTCTAAAACGTCCTGTTCCCTCTCAGGCACTGGTCGGAAACTTAGCTGCATATTGGGGCACTGGGTGCCTCAGTTGGTTAAGCATCTACCTTCAGCTCAGGTCACGATCCCAGAGTCCTGGGATCAAGCCCCACGGGCAGCTCTCTGCTCAGCTGGGAGCCTGCTTCTCCCTCTCCTTCTGCCTCCTCCTCCTGCTCATGCTTCTCTCTCTCCCTCTCTCTCTCTCTCTCTCAAATAAATAAATAAATAAATAAATAAATAAATAAATAAAATCTTTAAAAAAAAAACCTTAGCTGCATATTGGGATTGCCAACAACATTTTAGAAACTCCTGATGCCTGTCCTTACCCCTGGGCATGCTGATTTAACTGGTCCTCAGTGCTACCTAGGCATGGAGACTTGGAAGAGCACCCAAGTGACCCGAGCATTCCACGATGGTTGCCAACTGCTGCCCGAGAACCTTACTGGGCAAAGTAGGCCATGGCCAGCAGCGGCAGCACCACCCAAACAGAAGAGTGACGAATTCCCAGGGGGCAGGGAGGCAGCTAGGAAGTGCCCAGAGGGCAGAAAGGATGTCTGTTTTGTCTGCACTGTATGTCTCGGATCCAGGTATGGGTGCCAGGCACACAGAACCAGCTATATGAATGAAGGAGTTTAGGCCGATGCTCAGAGTTCTCAAACTACAGCAAACTTAAAACCCCATGATCAGGGTACCTGGTTGGCTCATTGGTTGAACATCTGCCTTTGGCTCAAGTCGTGTTCCCGGGGTCCTGGGATCGAGTCCCGCGTCAGACTCCGCAGGGAGCCTGCTTCTCCCTCCGCCTATGTTTCTGCCTCGGTCTGTCTCTCTCATGAATGAATAAATAAATAAATCTTAAAAAAAAAAAAAACACATGACCTGCCAAAGCTCCAGTCCAATGGCACCAATGTTCTCAAATTCAGAGAGGTCATATTCCGTCAAATAGTTGGTGTTTTTCATCTTCTGGTGGAGCCAAATGTCTTTGTCTATACCCTCTGGTTTCAGGCCATCCTGCAACAACAAACTCTAAGTGGTGGCCCCAAAGGACGCAGGCCAAGGCCGGGAAGGGTCATCCCAGGGAGAAGGTGCCACGTACCTGGTATGGAGGCTTCTGTATCATGGGTGCCTGCCAGTCCCCATCCAGCTCACTATTCCAGTCACTTGGCTTGCTTGCACTGGCATCCAGAAAATGCTTCTCCCAGTCCTTAAATGTGTGTAAGAAAAAAAATTGATTCCCAGATTTGAGAAAAGAAATTCTTGCCTATCAAGAGTCAGGAGCGGGTCCATGGCACTGATCGCAATCAATTTGGTGGTTAAAGGGCCAAGTGCTCAGTTCCCAGTCCCACCGAGGGTCTCAGGGGGCCACACACTGCCAGGATTTTTCCCATAAGCCTTGGCATGATTACACTACCGTTCCCACGTTGGTGAGAGGAACAACAGTGGGTGAAACTCAAAATAGTGGCTGAAGTTAAAATGAGGGGACAAGGGGCGCCTGTGTGGCTCAGTCAGTTAAATGGCCGACTCCTGGCTTCAGCTCAGGTCATGATCTCAGGGTCCTGGGATTGAGCCCTGTGCCGGGCTCCCTGCTCAGCACAGAGTCTGCTTGTCTCCCTTTCTCTCTCTGCCCCTCCCTCCCACTTGCACAAATTCTCTCTAAAATAAGTAAATAAATCTAAAAAAAAAAAAAAAAAAGATGGGCCAAAAGGGAATGAGAAGTGAGGGGCCACACAGTCACTACTGGTTAGGTGGTCTTTCTACATAGCACTCATACATGGAATGTTCCAGAGAAGCTGGACCACCAAGGAATGTTCCAAGACTTATCTGGGGTAGCAGGAGAAAAGCAGTTATGTTATATAGACCTTCTCTATATATACATAAACAGTCACACTATACACATATAGATACATATGTACACATATATGCACATATGCAGGCCTATGATACACATGAACACATCTGTATACACATATAATACACATGTGTGGTACACGTACACATACACACATGTAATACACACATATATACATATGTATATAATACATACACATCTCTATGTATATATGTGGCTTAGTAGGTATTGAACAAATATTTGAATAAATGGATGAAGAAAAGGTGCTATGGATTAATATTCAGATAACATAAACACATAAACGTTGTATATAAAGATACTTTCTCTTTTAGAATAACTGAAAAACAGTAACATTTTGCATTTAGACTGTGGCTTTTCCATGATATGTAATACTTCTCAATGATTGGTACCCAGGATTTGGTCACCGCCCCTACTGCTTTTGGCCCCTACCCCAACTGGAAACAGATGAACCATTCTTGTGCTGGGACCAGGAAACAGTTACAATTCAATCTGAGTCGCTGGCTCCTTATGATTGCGGGCAATTAAATCATAATGTCATCATGAACTAATTTGTTGAGGAACTCACACGGAACCAAACATATGGACAAAACACAGCCAGTCTGGAGGCCAGCTTTTGAAAGGTTGATTAGGCTCCACCAGGGATCCCGCCTGCGGACGTTTGGCCCTGAGACACATAGCCCTGCTAGCTGGCACTCAGGCATCCAGGACTTTCATCCCAAGACCTTGTCTTCTGCACACCCAGAGGGCTGCAGGTTCAGTTCCTTTGCCATTCTCTGCCTTGTTTAAAGTAAGTGCTCTAAATAAATAAATAAATAATAAATAATAAATAAATAAATAAGTAAGTAAGTAAGTAAGTAAGTAAGTGCTCTTGGGGCATCTGAGTGGCTCAGTGGTTGAGCATCTGCCTTTGGCTCAGGTTGTGATCCCAGAGTCCTGGGATGGAGTCCCTCATCAGCTCCCCACAGGGAGCCTGCTTATCCCTCTGCCTATATCTCTGTGTGTGTGTGTCTCTCATGAATAAATAAAATCTTTTAAAAAAATAAAGTAAGTGCTCTTTCCAGGTGAAAACTACTATTTTGGTCTGTTTTGACGGTAAGCAAGGGAGGGAGAAACTTTGTTCTTTTGCTTTACAGATTACATTGTCCATGATGGCATATTTGATCGTCAACAGTGCCACCGATCAGTTTTAAGTTGCCGAAATTAATTGTAAACACAGTCCAGTGGTGCCTGGGTGGCACAGTCTGTTAAGTGACGGACTCTTGGTTTTGACTCAGGTTGTGATCTCAGGGTGGTGAGATGGAGCCCTGTGTCACGCTCTGCACTCAGCATGGGAGTCTGCCTCATATCCTCTCTCCCTCTCCCTCTTATGCTATCTCTCTCTGGCTCTCGCTATCACTCTTAAATCTTTTAAAAAAAACAAAAACAAAAAAAACAACAACAACAAAAAAACCCCACATAGTCCAGTACTTTTAGTTATGGCAAAGACAATTGTCTTAAGATAAACGGCTCATGGGTTTGGTGTGGTGTTTGATGTTCAAAATAAAATGTTGCAACAATAAACACAAACTGAAAACAAAACAAAACAGAAGGTAGCTCACAGTGGGTTGAGCGGTGGTTCCAGGAATGGTTTGTCCACATCCTAAATCTCAGAATCTTGGAATGCGAGTTTATAATGAGAAAAGGATCTCAAGGCAGGTCATTATGGATTATCCAGTGGGTTCTAAACCCAAGGGCAAACATCTTTATAAGAGACAGAAAGAACACAAGAAGAGAAGGCCATGAGGAGGCAGGGGCAGGGAATGATGTCTACCAGCCAAGAAACTCCTGGAGCCAACAGAAGCTGGAAGAAACAAGGACAGATTATCCCCTGGATCCTTTAGAAGGAGTGTGACCCTGCTGACCCCCAGATTTCTGCTTTCTGCCTTCAAGAACCGTTAGAGAATACACTTCTGCCATTTTAAGCCACCTACTTCATGGTACTTTGTTATGGCAGCCCTAGGAAACGAATGCATAGCCATTATGGTAATGGATTCTTGGTTGTCAGTGACAAGTGTGATGCTCAAAAAATACTTTGTTCAAATTCCAAATTACAAAAAAATCATTTTTATAAAGGTTGCTGATGCATTTCCCTTTTTCTTTTTAGAAAAAAAATTGGTTAAAAAATAAAATTTACTTGCTTTCATCTCAAATATTATAAAACTATTCTACATCACTGGGTGAAGCTTTGTGATCAGCAGCAGATGCTCTGGGGAAGACACTTTTTTTAGAAAGATCGATTTTTAAAAGTTCTTCTTATTTTTTTAACAGAGAAAGAGTGTGAGCTGGGAGCCAGGGTAGAGGAAGAGAGAGAGAGAGAGAGAGAGAGAGAGAGAGAGAATCTTTTTTTTTTTTTGAGAAAGAGAGAGAGAATCTTAAGCAAGCTCCATGCCTAGCGTGGAACCCAACATGAGGCTCCATCTCACAAACATGAGATCATGACCTGAGCTGAAACCAAGAGTTGGATGCTTAACTGACTGAGCCACCCAGGTGCCCCCAGAGAAGACATTTTGTGATAATGTTGACATCAGGATTGATTACTAGCATCACAACAATCCCACAGGACCTGAGTACTTACAAACCACACTGGCACACTCTCTAGAATTTTTTGGGAAAAATCCACACCTGGGATTTGCCATCTTCAACTTGCTCCCAATCCTTGGACTCTGCAGAGGTCTTCTCCATCTTCTTAAGTGATGTTAAGTTCCAGTCATACTCGATGCCGCCGGATTCAATTGACTGACCATCAATCTTCACTTCATAAGTGAGGTCGGGTCTTAAAATCAGAGCATAGAGGTGTGTAAAGCCATCAACCTGCATGTTTTAAGGGGAGAAAGGATAACGATGAGACCTTGGCATTTCAGGGCAGGTCTACGTATGTGGTTTAAGTCTTCAAAGGCTTGTTACAAATAGCAAGGAGAGTGGTTCTAGGGACAGGGTTGACTTGACTTAAAAAAATGCGTCCTACAGAAGAAATCACCCCTTTGTACCAAACTTCCTCACTGCCAAGCAGACTTGAGTGGATGATCGATCCCCTTTGGCGTAGATGATGGCTCCTATCTAGCTAGACCCCCCACAGGTGGTTACGACAGAGTGGTGGGCATACGCCAAGGGACCACTGCTCTGATTTATGACAAGTTACGTAGAAAACAACTTCCTGTTCTGTACTCTGAAAGATACCAAATGAAGCCCAGTCAATTTCTCAATGCAAGGAAGAACTTTCTAATGCTCTGAGCTGTCCAACAATTTAAACTCTGCGAGGGCAGGCCCAGTGCCTGTCTTGGTCGTAAAGCCCCAGACCAGACCCAAGGGAAGCATTCAGCAGCAGAGGGGACTCCTGCATCATGCTCCAGCAGGGGCCAGTTCTCAAAGTGGGGCTGGGACAGCATGGGGGTCACTGGGGATGCCTGGGGAATGTCCGTCACCAGGTCAGCATGACCTGCTGCATCTGCCCCTGGGCGGACCCTCCAGTCTCTTTCACAGACCCTCCAGAGATGCTGATGCTGCTCAGGTTTGGGAGCCATGGCCTCAGCATCTTAAAGGTTTTGCCAGGATTATCCTCCCTCTGCTAAGAGCCAAAGGTCAAGGTTCCTGCAGTACGCCTCTGCTCTGCCTTGCGGGATAGGCCACTGCTGTCCACGCCATGGCCAAATGGCTCTGTCTGTTCTGTGTCCCTCTCAACCTCTGTAGTTCGCTGTGACAGCTGAGTACACACTTCTTCCAACGCTCACTCCCTGATCCCTGCCCGGCTTGGTCTCCACTCACCTTTCCTAATTTAGACTTTGGCCTCATTGGCCGGGTTGTTAGGACCTTCCAGGACTTAACCACAGAAATCCACAGGTGCAGAGCCTCCTGAGAGAGAACATCCACCCCTGCACATATACAATGGCTCCAAGCCAGGATCTTTAATCTCAACCATTGGCCTGAGCTTCAGACCACAGTCTCCCACAACTTACTGGACACCTCTACCGGGATGCCTGCCAGGATTTCACAACCAACAGTTCTAGACACAAATTGCAAGTGTGCCCTGGCCCCCTTACTGGCCTTTGCTTTTCCCGCTGATTAGCAGCAACGCTGCTGAGACTTAATGTCCACATCCCCAGTACTCACTTTGCAAACATTGTTTAGTCCTCTGGGTCCCACCCCTGAATTATCTGTCAAAACGTCCCCCTGTTCTGCATCCCGCTGAAGCCTTGGCCTAACAATCTCACATTTCTCTCTGCCTACTGATCACCATGTTTCTCCGCCCCTTGTCCCCAGAACACCTGAGGTATTTTTCTAACATGCAGATCTGACCCTCTCCTTGAAGACCCTTGAGGGCTGACCTGCAGGGGAGGTTCTCAGCCATTCCTTCATGGCATCACAGAATGAAAAGAAGCCCCTCTCTGGAGATAGCTGCTCCTTACTTGGGAAGACTCCCTGCTGTCAGTGCTCCTTCAATAGAAGTATTTTATTTTTCTAACAGGTTGCAGAAATAGCACACATCTGAGAGTGTCATCAGCCTGAGGGTGCCCTTCTGGGTGGTGAGGGCTATTGGTTGGCTGACCTGAGCTGATCAAGCTCTAACCTCCCCAACATGGTCCAGGCCGGACTGCACAGCCTCCATGGTATCACCCTTGCTTCCTCCCAAACACCTGATGCGCAACTAGACGATTTCTTGGGAATCAGTTGCAAAATGTGCATGCTAAGACAGGGGAGAAAGACTTGGATTTTGAGCCCTCCCTCACACCTACAGGAGGGATGTCAGGCCTTCCCGTGTAGAGGGGACCCAATGATCTTTTGTAGCCATGAAGTCAGTGGGTGGAACCCCAAGAAGAACCATGCTGCTGATGGAGACTCACCTCCCCCCACACCCCCGGCTTGGGTCAGGACTGAATAAAGGGTGGTTATGGATACTTCCCCTTCATGCTGTTAACATGCTCTGGAAATGCACTTTGGCCTCCTGCCCAGAATTGCCCAGATCCATGGAGGCCTCCCATGTTGGAGCTCTGAGCACTGGGAGTGCCCCCGGGGACAGGTCCCTGCTTCCTGGCGGCCACAGTCAAGTAGAGAGGGTGCATCAGGAAGTGTATTTCCCTTCCATGGGCCCAGCGCCCAGGACCTGATGCAAGCTGCCTCTTTGGAGAAGCCCTGGCTGGGTCTCAAGGCATAAAGTGTTATTTTCACAGGATCCATGGGTAGAAGGTAAGGAAGTATGCTCTCATTTTTGAAACACTCCCATTTGTAAATGCTTTGGTATTTTGAAGATTAATTTCTCCAGGACATTTTTTTTCCCATCCTGAATATTTCATTCCTGAGTGAGGATGGATAGAGCCAAAATGAGACTATACTGTTGTAACCCTTAAAGGCAAATCATAATACCGCTCACAGTAAAAAGTGATTCTGCCCTCCTGATGGGCACAAACTTCAGAAAACAAGCCACCAAAGTATGTACACGTCTCTAACGAGTCTGCTAAACTGGAAACCAGAGGCAAGGGGCGTGTTGCTAAGATCCATCCCTGGTTCAATTACGTATTTTAAGATCAAAACTATTTTCTCTAAATTATGTTATCATTAAGAGCTAACACAATTACAGATTTGACTATGAGAGCGCTTACCTTACACCTGATTGATTTCTTGTTTGAGTGATACTGATTCTTGAAATGTAAAATAACATGAACTTTCCTGATATCAAATCCACAAATATCGGGTCCTACAAAAAAAAAAAGTACGAGCTGCTGTCAATTTCCTTCTCTAATGCATCACCACAGGAAACCTCCAACCGTTCCCCTGGAGTAACATCCCAGGACGGAAGCTTACGTGTGCAGGAATAATCAGACTTTGTCGTGGATACAGTGACTCCCTTCTCCGTTCAGGTTACTTCTCAGGTCACTGCAGCTACTTTGGACTCAAGTGTAAGGCAGCACATGAGTAAGAAAAACATTTAACAGTCTAGGAAGCATCCCTGACATGCTGCCTGAGGCTTGGGCTGGTTCCAAAGCTCTGAGGGGTGTCCTGTGCCCGGGTGAGGGCTTCAGAGCCAGACTAGCTGGCTTGGATTCCAGCTCTCATTCATTGTGCTGAGACATATTTGCAACCATCCAGCTCCCGATGCCTGTGTCCTGTTTTCTAAAATGGGGATGTTAATCTTCCAAAGCTATTTTGCCAATTAAATGGGCTAATGTGTGTAAAGCATTTAATATGGCAAAGCTCACTATTTGTTATTATTTTGTCCCAAGACCACCCCCCCTCCAAATACACACACACACACACACACACACATTCAGATTAAGGATTTCTGAATATACTAAACAAGGTTTGCAAGAGGGATCTGGAAAATTTGTCAGACCTTCCGAGGATGTTTGGAATTACCCCGCCGCTGCTTTATTGACCTTAAGCAATAGGAATGTACTAGAGCATCCGAGTGTCTTTCTGTTTCAAATCAAATTCCACCACAACTGACCCGTGCCAGCACCGGCCCCTGGGGATTCTGTGAGGCTGTGTAAACACAGGCAGATGACTGCGATTTTTTTTTTCTAGAACTTGCAGTGATGAACCTTCCGAATTAGAGAGATCCAGGCTGCACATAATTACTTAAAGGATATTATCAATTTGCCAGAGTGGATGTGACATTGAACTTGGAAGTAGCATCCTGAGGGACCGACAAAGAACACCATGTCTACCTCCCAGAACTCTCAGAGGATGCTTGTTTATGTAATTTCCCTTTTTTTTTTTCTTATCACTGGAAAACATTCCAGTTCAATTTTTAAAACAAAAGCTATGGTATGTGAACTATTTGTATGAAAGTCTACTACCTGGGGATTAAACCATGAAATTTTTCCTGCAATATTGGTCAGAATTTCCCTATTTCTAAGCACCTACATGCTTTAAATATTAAATTAAGCTTCACAACATGCCCAGACATGACCAGAAAATCTGGACATTTTTTGTTAACAGCGATCATCAAATATTTATGCACATCATGTATTTTTATGAGGAAATGGGGCAGACAAAAGGGCTTTAAACAGGCTGACCTGCCTTTGGGCAAGAAAGTTTAATCTTTGTGAGCCTCAGTTTTTTCTTTTTTTATTTGCAAAATAGAGCTGTGTTACCAGTTTCCTAGGGTTTTTTTTTTTTTTTTTAAGGTTTAATTTATTTATTCATGAGAGGCACAGAGAGGCAAGGCTCCCTGTGGGGATCCTGATAGGACCTATCCCAGGACCCAGGGATCTCGACATAAACCAAAGGGAGCCGCTCAACCAGTGAGCCACCCAGGTGCTCCTCCTATGCTCCTCCTAGGGATTTATTTATTTATTTATTTATTTATTTATTTATTTATTTATTATAGTCACAGAGAGAGAAAGAGAGAGAGGCAGAGACATAGGCAGAGGGAGAAGCAGGCTCCATGCACCCGGAGCCTGATGTGGGATTCGATCCCGGGTCTCCAGGATCAGGCCCTGGGCCAAAGGCAGGCGCCAAACCGCTGCACCACCCAGGGATCCCCTCCTCCTAGGGTTTTAAACGTAATCTAAGATTGCATTTGTAAGGCCCATGGCAATGGCCCCATAAAATATACGCTCTTCCCCTTCACCATCACAAGCCTCAGCAAGCTGCTCTCCTACCAAGGGGGAGAGCTGAGGCATCACAAGGAAGTGTTCTAACAGTGACACGGTGGGTTTAAGTTAAATGTAACTGAGTTAAGAGCAAATATAATACAGGTAATTCACTTTTTTTTCCCTCCAAAGTATGCGGTTTCACAATTCAGATGCAGCAAATATGCTATGTATATTTAAAAGATGGGAATTCTGGCTCATATTTGGTGATTTTGTTCACCAAACCTAACTAAATCAAATATTTGTGAAATTATCTCTGGTTCAACAGGTAATATATATATATATATATATATATTTTTTTTTTGCCAGATATATCTGTCATCCTATTTTAAGAGAATAATAACCCAAACCAAGTCATTTTAATTTCCTTTTTAATCAAAATAAAGACCTTTTCCATTCCACATTTTAAATTCAAGAGTAAAAGGGAGGCAAGGGAGAGTACAGAGAAGTGAGCAGGGCTCAGGAACTATGCAGTTGGTGGGAACTCTACACCTACGTAATGCAGTGGGTGGCCTTGGACAAGTCACCTCACCCTCCAAGACAGGGTAGGATTGTATCTAAGTCCAATAAATAATCTAATATCTATTCTGTCTGCTTCTGTATAACACTATGACCAGCGGTGTATACAAACACAAGTACAGCACAATAGGTATCTGAAACCTGATGCTGATCATGATAAATTCAGAGGAAACTTCTTCAAGACATCCACATCGTGAGAGAAAAGAATTAAAAAAAAAAACAATTCCTCAAATTTAAATTACCAATGGATATTTTAAAACTACATCTCCATTCTTAAAAGATTTTTTTTTTCACTTTTTAAATTGTGGTAAAATACTCATAACATTTACCACCTTAATCATTTTAAAGTGTACCTTCGGTGGTATCAAATACATTCACACTGTTGCACAACCATCACCAACATCCATCCCCCGACTCTTTTCACCTTATAAAACTGAAACTTTATACCCATAAAACTAACTTCTCATTCCCCCCCAACCCACAGCCCCTGGCAACCACCATGCTATGTTCGATGTCTGTAAATTTGACTACTCCACGGACCTAAAAAAAGTACAGTTGTGTAGTATTTGTCTGTTTGTGTCTGGCTTATTTCACTTAGAATAACGTCTTCAAGTTTCATTCATGTTGTAACAGGTGTCAGTATTTGCCTCCTTTATGAAGCTGAAAGATAATCCCTTGTATGGACACTACACTACATTTGTTCATCCATTCATCCACTGATGGACACTTGAGTCCTCCAGCTTTCGTCTTTTTTTTTTTAAGATCCATTTGAGATGGAAAGAGAGAGAGAATGCGTGTGTATGTGCAAGTGGGGGAAGGGGCAGAGGGCGAGGGAGGGAGAGAATCCCGAAGCAGACTCCTTGCCAAGTGCAGAGCCCAACATGGGGCTCGATCCCAGGACCCAGAGATCATGACCAGAGCAGAAATCAAGAGTCAGACACCCAACCTGAGCCATCCAGGTGCCCCTTGGTCTTCCTTTTTGAGATTATTTTGGCTATTCAGACTCCCTTGAGATTTCATATGAATTTTAGAATGGGTATTTCCATGTCTGCAAAAAAAAAAAAGTCACTGGAATTTTAATAGGAATTAGATTGAATCTGTATATTGCTTTAGAATCTGTAGATTGCTTTGGCTAATGTTAACATCTTAACATTATTAAGTCTTCCAATTCATGAACATGGGATATGTTTCCTTTCATTTACATCTTCTTTAATTACCTTCAGCAATACTTTGTAGTTATCACTGTACAAGTCTTTCATCTCAATTCCTAAGTATTTTACTCTCTTGGATGCTATTATAAATGGAATTGTGTTTGCAATTTCCCTTTCAGATCATTCATTGTTCATATACAGGAAATGCAACTGTTTTTTGTATGTGTGTGTGTTGACTTTGTATCCTGCTACTTCAGTAAATTCATTCATTAGTTCTAATAGTTTTTTGTGTGCAATCCCTATGGTCTTCTATGTATAAGATCATATCATTTGCAAATAGAGATAATTTTATTTCTTCCTTTCCAATTTGGATGACTTTTATTTATTTTTCTTGCCTAATTGGTCTGGCTAGGACTTCCAGTACTATGTTGAATAGAAGTGGTGAGAATGCATCCTTTCTTTGTTCCTGATCTTACAGAAAAAGCTTTGTCTTTCACCACTGAGTAGGTTTGCTGTGAGGTTTTCATAGATAGCTTTTATTATGTTGAAGTAGTTTCCTGCTATTCCTAGTGTGTCAGCTGTTTTTGAAATGGTAAAAATTTTAAATTTGTCAAATGTCTTTTCTGATCATTTATGATGATTATGTGTTTTTCTTTCATTTTGTTGATGTATCATATAATATTGACTGATTTTCATATTTCTTTTTTTTAAGATTTTATTTATTTATTCATGAGAGACACAGAGAAAGAGGCAGAGACATAGGCAGAGAGAGAAGCAGGGTCCTCGATCCTGTGATCACACCCTGAGCCAAAGGCAGACGCTCAACCACTGAGCCACCCAGGTGCCCCAGATTTTCATATTTCAAATCATCCTTGCAGACAAGGAAGAGATACTACTCGGTCATGGGGTACAATCCTTTTTAATATGCTGCTGAATTCTTCTTGCTAGCACTTTGTAGAGGATTTTTGCATCAGTATTCACAAAGACACTGTTCTGTAGTTTTCTTGTAGCATCTGGCTTTGGTGTCAGGATAATGCTAGCTCATAGGATGAGTCAGGAAATACACGTTCATTCCTCTTCATTTTTTTTTGGTAAAGTTTGAAAAGGATTGGTATTGGTTCTTCTGTAAATATCTGGTAGAATTTGTGAGAGATCAACAGATTTAGGACTTTTCTTTGGAGAGTTCGGCTTACTGCTCTCTTTACTATTTATGGCTCTCTTCAGATTTTCTGTGTATTCATGATTGAGTCTTGGCGGGGTTTGTGTTTCTAGGAATTTGTCTATTTCATAAAGGTTATCCAATTTTGGAGCATACAACTGTTCCTAGCACTGTCTTATAATTCTCTTTATTTCTATAAAATTGGGAGTAATATCCCATTCCTGGTCTCAGTAATTTGAGTCTTCTTTGCCCATTTAGCTAAAGGTTTTTGTCAATTTTGTTGATCTTTTTGGAGAATCAACTTTGATTTTTATTGGTTTTCTCTGTTATTTTTCTATTCATGATTTCATTTATCTCTGCTCTAATATTTATCATCCCTATCCACTTCTCCCTTCAATTTTACCATTCTTTGTTTCATGTTTATGATGTTCATTAGATGTGTAAATGTTTATAATTGTTATATCTTCTTGCTATATTGACCTTTTTACTAATATATAATGTCCTTTGTCTCTTATAGCCTTTTTGATTTCTTTAAAGTCGATTTTGTCTGATATTAGTATAACCACCCTGCTCTCCTTTGGGTGCTATTTGCCTGGAATATCCTTTCACTTCCTTTCACTTTCAACCCCTGTCTTTGGATCTCATATGAGTCTTTTGTAGATTAGCATATAGTGGATCATGTGTTTTTATCCATTCTGCCAATCTTTGTCTTTTGACTGGAGTGTTTAATCCATTTACATTTAAAGCAATTACTGCTAAGAAGGGACTCACCTATCACTCTATTTTCTATACGCCCTACCGCTTTTTGTTCTTCATTTCTGCATTGCTGTCTTTTGCTTTTACTTGATTTTTTTTTCAGGGAAACGTTTAATTCCTTTTTTTTTAAATTTTTTTTTTAAATTTATGATAGTCACAGAGAGAGAGAGAGGAAAAGACACAGGCAGAGGGAGAAGCAGGCTCCATGCACCAGAAGCCCGACGTGGGATTCGATCCCGGGTCTCCAGGATCGCGCCCTGGGCCAAAGGCAGGCGCCAAACCGCTGCGCCACCCAGGGATCCCGTTTAATTCCTTTTTAATTTCCTTTTGTGTATATTCTATGGATATTTTCTTTGTGGTCACCATGGGGATTACATTTAACATCCTAAAGTTATAATGCTCTAATTTGAATTTATACCATTTTAACTTCAATAACACACAGAACTCTGCTGTTCACCTCTTTGTCTGCACCTCTGTGATCAGAAGCAGCAATCAGCAATCAGAGCTCAGATTTGACATTTGGAGGACAGGGTCCTTTTTGTCCACCCTCTCTGTAAGCTGTGTGTACACTGCTCCAGGAGCACATGCACAGCTGCCTGCTGAGTGACTTGAAATGGAGGTTACGTATTTACTGTGCTAAGAGCTAACTGACTAAAACTAACCTTTCCATTCTTCCCCTGGAAGATGCAATCTTTCCACAGACTTCAGAGTTCCAAAACAGTTACATCAGATTCTGTTGTTACAGTAGTTGTCTAGGTGGGAAGATGGATTCCTGGTGCTTCCTATTCCATTTCCCCAAATCCTCTTCATTCTGAAAGCTTTTTGAATCCACATCCTTCAGTTATGTCTAGTTCCCGTGGCCCAACATGGTCCTGTCCCAATTCTAGCACAACTTTTAATCAATTACTCCTGTTATCAGGAGATATTTAAAGCATTCCAGAGCTCAGCAGGGGCTAGACAGGAAACATTTTGGCCTTCCTATCATTTTCATGTGTCAAAAATATTATCCTCCTTTCAATTTTTTTTCAATGATTAAAAATGTTAAAACCATTATCAGCTCATGGGGCATAACAAACACAGGCTGTGAGCTGATGTGGCCCATGGCCAAGGTCTGCTGACTCCTGATATATTCCAATACTTGAGACTACATTAATGTTGAGTAACTTTCTTAAAGTACAATAGGGGGCACCTGGATGGCTCAGTTGGTTAAGTGGCCAACTCCTGATTTTGGCTCAGATCATGGTCTTAGGGTTACACATCCTGGGACTGAGTTACATATCCAGCTCTGCACTCAACAGGGAGTCTGCTTCAGGATTCCCTCTCTCCCTTTGCCACTCTTATGAGAGTGAGTGAGTGGGGGAGAGGGGCAAAGGGAGAGAGGGAATAAAGTACAACAGAATGGCACAGGTGTCTCTTTATATTAGTTTGAAAACCTTTGGTTGGATATATCCGATACTACTACTTTGGTAAAGTCTTAGTCTGAGGATTCTATGAAGTGGAAGGATTCAAAGTCACCAGAAATGGTGGTTTTGTACTATCTAAACTCACCAAACATAATATAGTACTGGGATTTTCCATTAAGGTTCTTCTGATCCACATCTGCAGGGAAGACCTTAATGTAGCCTCCTCCACAGTCCATCTTCTGCTCATGTTTCACCGTATACTGAATGACCAGAGTCTTCCCTTTATTGCTAAATGGTTTGAATCGTGCAGAGATGGCATAGAATCGGCCATTTTGAGTGGTTTGCAGACCTTTAAACAAAAAATGCTCATGAAAGATTAGGAATGACACTGTGCTCAGTTCTACAGGGAATTAAATGGTGGTCCTCCCATCCCCAATAATAATAATTTATGTCAATTCAGAGGCTAAAAACGCATTTTTACAATAAAACATGATGGACATACCACTAACAGCCTCTCTGCTGCCACAGAACTTTCCACACACAGTTGTTTTTTTGCTTGGTATACCACTGTCATGTCTCAAATTACAAAAACACTTCAGCTTTAAATGATAAATATGCAACCTAATTATGGATAAGAAGTGAATTTTGTTTCGATTCATCTTCCAAAGGGAGGGAATATACATTAAGGCTTATGTAGCAACTCAATTAAGAAACAGCGCATCCTACATCTTTTCTTTAAATTGCATCTTGAAATAGTTGCTTCGGATATACCACAGTGAATGGAGGATAGAGTGCTGACCTGCAAAAATGTACTTCACTGCATGGAATGCACTGGCCTGTAGCTGCCCTCTTTTTACAAAGATACCACCCTGTTGTCACATGAATCATCTCATATTTTATAAGTTAAGGTGTTCACTTCAAGACTAAACCCTCCTTTTTTCAGTAGCCACCAGGCTCTGTACCAAATCCTTATTTTATACTGGAGTAGAAGATAGACTTGAAAATAGATCCAGTCTTACTAGAATCTAGTCTTCCTTGCTCCACGTTCCTGCCCCCATACCTGCCACTGCTGAGATCCATCATAAATGCACTTGGTATTTTCATTTTCTATCAATATGTCCAAGCCTGAACTCATAGCTGACTACCCACTACTACACTCATCTCTCTCTCATTCTCCCCCTCCCATCCTTCCTTTCTCAAATAATTCATAGGTTCACCCCCTTCTCTACCGCCTTACCATCCAGGCAATTCCTAAGACCAAGATTCACCACTTTCCTCTCTCTCACTACCCTCCTCAACCATCCCCAACATCTCTCACCACTTCCCATCTCTGTCGGAGTAAATTCTATTCATCTTTCCATCTACCACTTCTGTGTAATGGCCCTGGGAGACCACAATGAAAGGGGCCAAATTAATTGGTACCCCAGTGTCTTGCCCTTGTGCTCTTAGTAGATGTGTGCTGGAGTGAATGAAACACAGAATCTTGGGATTCCAGATTGGAAGAAGAGAAAACATTGTGAGGGAAAACCCCAAATGAATAAGTGGAAATCCCATCCTTGGACAAGCTTGATGGAACAATCTGTTAATTTAACTCCATTTTTGTACTATGGGGTGAATTTTGACCAACTCTTTGGTCAACATGTAACTTAGAAAACAATGTACATTCAACAGAAAACCGGAAGCTGCCATCAAGACAACCCTGGAGTAATAGCCAAGGTAGAGGCTGAGTGAGAGCTTGGTGAAAAGTGAAACTTTCCATCTAAATCAGGGGTCTGCAAACCTTTTTTGTAAAGCCAGAGAACAAATGTTTTAGACTTTGTGGGCCATATGGTCTCTGCCCCAACTTGCTGCCTTGGGGCAGGAAAAAACCCATAGCTCTATGTAAATAAATGGCCATGGCTGTGTTCCATTAAAACTTTGTTTATGGACCCTGAAATTTCATATATTTATTGAATTTTATGTAATTTCTGCATGTCATAAAATACTATGCCCCTTTTGACTTTCCCCCAACAATTAAAAAATGTAAAAATCATTCTTATCTCACCAGCTCTGTGCGAGTAGGTGGCAAACGAGTTGTGCTTTGTCCACCTTTTACCATCAGCAATGAGAAGAAGACAGAAGTCATCCTTGGCACCGGGATGACTTGGGGAGACGGGGGTGTGTGCACAAGGGGGACTTCTGAAAATGTTCCCTATCTTGAGCAGAGTGTACATATATAAACCTTTCTGTACCCATAAGACCTATGCACCTTTTAACCACAATTGTATTCTTCGTAAAGTGAAAACAAAAATGAGAAGTATCCCCTGACCTTTTCCCCTTTGCAGGTCAAAGACCTGGGGTCTCTAAACTCATGTGACCAATTGGTATACAATGAAGCGATCTTGGGCAAGTAAAGATAGGAAAGAGGAAAAGTAATGCCAGACCCTATGCAAGCCTTAGTTTCCCCAGTGGTGAACGGGCTGTAAGAGGTGTTAGGAGTGTGCGACACCTACCTTGAAAGGTTGGTATAGTGGTGGTGGTGGTGGTGGTGTGTGTGTGTGTGCACTTAGCTCGATTTTCTCACCATTCCTGCACTGACCTTTATCTTTCTCTTTATGACCATAAAATTTCCCGGACGAGAGTCTAAAATGACCAATTTGAGAGTCATTGGTGGACTGCACCCATCGGTTCCTCCAGTGCTCTATGGGGGAAAACAACACCGGTTAGGGCTGAGGCTCCTTATTGGAGTCAGGGAGGGTGTATGTGTTGGGGGGCGGGGGGAGGAGAAGGAGGCTCGAGGCTTCGAACCTTCGAAGCTTCGAAGCTTCAAGGCTTCGCCACCACGGACCTCGCGGTGGTGGATCGGAGCCAGTGGGGACTCGGGCTATGGGCTGGTGAGCTTACACCCCCACTCCACCACCAAGGGGGTCGCCTCTTCACCTCCGTCTAGAAATTCCTCTTGGAAGTAGACGGTGGCCAGGGCCACCCGCAGCATGCAGACCGCCCAAAGCGGAACGTGAACCAAAGCCATGGAAGGCACGTGGCACTTCTCGTAACCGCCCCTTTGCTCCCAGTTGTCTCCCAGGCGTGCCCGGCCGTCCCAGAACTACAACTCCCGTCACGCCTCGCGATTGTGATCTGAGGCAAGCATTGGCCCCCCAGCGCGCAGTGCACGTCGGGTCCGCCCCGGTACTACAACTCCCATGATGCACCGCGATTATGACCTGGGGGCGGGAGTGGTGGCGCCCATTGAGCCTCAGAGCGCAGCGCGCGCCGGGATATGTAGTCTCTTCCGCCCTGGCGCTGTTGCCCGGGGCAACGGTCCCATCTGGCCAGAGAGGCCGGAAACCCGGCGGCGGCCTCTGCGGATGGACGTCGTGGGAGGAGGTTGGAAGGGTTGGCTGGGCTGCTCGAGGCTTGGCGCCCAGAATCGGGAGAGGAGTTGCGGGAGAAGGGGAGCGTCCTGCAGCTGGGCCGGGAGGGAGGCTGGAGGGCGGCGCGGCGCCTCGCGCCGGTTTCCCCTCGCGGCCCGCCTGGCAGCGTGGTCGGGGGTGGGAGCTCCGGGAGCTGGGCAAGAGCCCGATGGCCTGAGGGGCGCCGGGGTTTCCAAAGTTGTCTGTATTTATTTTTTGCAACTTTATTGAGGATTCGTTGGCGTACCGTGCAATTCACCCCGCTTAAGCATATAACTCAGGTACTCGTATTAAGTTTGCCGAGTGGTGCGGCCGCCGCCGCGAGCCGGCTGTTGGGCTTTCCCGCCGCCCCACGGGTGTCCCTCCTGGCCCTTTGCGGTGCCTGCTCGCTCCCACCCCGCGCGACCCCCGCGGTGCCCTGCGACCCTACAGATCTGCCTTCTCTGCTTGGGATCCTTGTGTGCGCTCTCTCTCTCTCTCTCTCTCTCTTTTCTTTTTTGCATCTCCTCCTCTCCCTTAGCATGATGTGTCGTCTGAGACGCACGGATGCTGGGGTGTGTGTGTGTGTGTGTGTGCGCGCGCGCGCGCGCATTTGTTCTCTTTTGTTGCTGGCTGGTGTTTCGTTGTATGGATGGACCTCAGCTCTCATCCGTTCACTATTAATGGACCTTTGCGCTGTTTCCACTTCTTGTCTTCTACCAGTGCTGTTAGGAATATTGGCGTACATCTCCATCATCTTGGGAACCGGCTGACAGTTTTCCAAATTGGCCTGCGTACCGTTTTCCAATCCCCCGTGACAGTGTATGAGCCAATTTCTTCACATCCTCGCCCACATTTGTTCTCTGTAGTTTGGATTATAGGCATTCCAGTGGCTGTGAAGGGAGACCTGGTGGTTTTCGATTTGCGTTTGCCCAGTGGCTAGTGACGTTGAATGTCTTTTGCATGTGTTTGTTGGCCATTCGAATGTTTGTTTGTTTTTTTCAGTATCCGTTCATATCATTTGCCCATTGGTTTATTATTTTTAATTGGGTGTTTTGAAAATGTATCTGTTTTAGTTGAGGTAAAATGGACCGAACGCAAAATTTGCCATTTTAACCATTATTGATTTATTTTTAAACCTAGGGGAACTTTCAGAAGAACTGGATGCGGGGGAAACCCGGCCTGGTGATCAGGCTTTCCCTCTGACCCACAGGATGGCGGGGACCAAGTCCTCTCCTGAGCCTCAGTTACAAAAATATTTATAAAGGTAGCTGTCGATGTGCCAGTGGTCTCCACTTCCCCTTTACTGGGTGGTTCCAGCTCAAAGCTCAGTTAATGCAGGTATTCTAAACGTTACTTTGTAAATCTTACTATTTATTCCATGCCCTACAATGAACATAGGAATTCTGTGAGCAAGCTGAAGCACAGAGTGGTCAAGTAACTTGCCCAGTATCACTCAGGCTAGGAATTCTGCGCTGTTTCTGTCGGGTATGGTTTTGTATTCACTGACCCCTGGGGCCAGGCCTGTGTTAAGCATTGTTAGTACCCTGGGCAGGCCTTAATACCCAAGTGATTAAGATGAGGATAAGCAGGCAAGCACACCACGCAGAGAAACAGAGTGAGAGAAAAATAATTCTCTCTTTTTTTTTTTTTTAAAGATTTTGTTTATTTATTCATGAGAGGCACAGAGAGAGAGAGGCAGAGACACAGGCAGAGGGAGAGGGAGAAGCAGGCTCCATGCAGGGAGCCCGACGTGGGACTCGATCCTGGGTCTCCAGGATCAGGCCCTGGGTGAAGGTGGCATTAAACCACTGAGCCACCCGGGCTGCCCAAAAGAATTCACTCTTATACAGAATCTTAGTGCTGGGTTAGATACTTTTCCTTGCACAAAACATTTGAGTTCAGCTTTGAAAGGTGCAGAAGACATAGGATTGCCAGATTTAACAAATAAAAATGTGGGACACCCAGTTGAGTTTGAATTTCTGATAAATAGCAAATAATTTTTTTAGTCTGAAAGTATTTGGAACAGACTAGTTTTTAGTTTAAAAATGCCTGGGCCAGGGATGCCTGGGTGGCTCAATCGATTAAGCATCCAACTCTTGATCGGCTTAGATCTCCGTCTCAGTTGTGAGTTCAGGCCCACATTGGGCTCTGCTGCTGGGCATGGAGCCTACTTAAAAAAAAATTGGGGTCATACTTATATTTTAAAACTTATTTACTATTTATCATAAATTCACATCACAGGACACCCAGGTGGCTCAGCGGTTGAGCGCCTGCCTTCGGCTCACAGTGTGATCCTGGAGTCCCCGGATTGAGTCCCACATCAGGCTCCCTGCATGGAGCCTGCTTCTCTCTCTGCCTGTGTCCCTGCCTCTCTCTCTGTGTGTGTCTCATGAATAAATAAATAAAATATTTTTTAAAAATAAAATAAAATAAAATAAATTCACATCGCTGGGGGTCCTGTATTTAATCTGGCAATCACAGTAAGCTTGTTTTCCAAGTGGACAGGGATGGGAAAAAATGGCTTTTTCAGGTCTCACAGTGAATTTAAAAAAAAATAAGTAAAATAATGCATGGCCTTGCTAAAACACTCAAATAGTACGGAAACAACCAATGGTTGTACATCTTGTCTTTTCTGCCTCACATGTTATTATGAAAACAGCTCTCCCTCGTTCTTTTTAATGGCTACATCGTATTCCGTCATGCATGCGCTCTTCTGGACTGCACCAGGTCTCTGTGGATGGGTTCAGATTTTTGATGAGTACAGACAATGCTGCCGTGACACTCCTTGAACACTCATCCCTGTGTGCATTTCCGAGTGTAACTGTAGGTAAATTCCCAGATGTGGAATTGCCAGGTCACAGGGTCTCTGCATCTCCCACTTTCATTGCAGCCACCGTGTTCCTTACGAAAGGGGTTGCAGCAAACGCACCCTCGCTCGTGCCAGATTTTTCCATCTGAAGATTTTAAACTTTTTGGAAACCTTTGTAAATCTCGTAGTGGGTTGTTTTTATTCTTTTAGGGGCTCATGGAAATTCAGAATATGATGAGAGCACTGACCCCTCTCCCCCAAAGAATATACACAAGCATGTGCACACAACATGCAGCTGGTATTTGGTGGTGAGGGGGTGGGGGTGCTGTGTCTCTAGCCCCCCCACCCTTCCAGAGCAGTGGTTTTCACAATTAAAGTGAAGTACGGTTTTCTGGGGGGGCTCCTTAAATATACAGATTGTATTCAAGCAGTTGTTTGTGAGAGAGCTGAGGACACTTGGATAAAGGAAGAGCCCTGATTTGGGGAGTGAGTCGGGAGCAGGACTCTTGGAGTGGTGATGGTGTAACTGGGCAGGCAGTAAAGCATGGTGGGGAAGGGGGCCTTTGGAATGACTTGAGCTTTGAATTTGGCTCTACTGCTCACTAGCCAGGTGACCTCGACTGGTGACCTTGACCGATGACCTAACCTTTCAGGGTTTTATTAACCTTTTATTTTATTTTATTTTTATTTATTTATTTTTTTTTCAATTATTAACCTTTTATTTAGGGACTATTTAACCTTTCATTTCCTTCACCTCCTCTGTTAAAGGGAGATAAGGTCACTGACTCAGGGTAGCATGAAACTTAAATGATATAATGCAGTTTGAGCAGAGTGTGGGCACACCACTGGAGCCTGAGAAGCACTGGCTCTTCTGTTTAATGTTTAACATGTCTCATCGAAGACCTGACATAGAGCCATAACTCAGTTGGTGGTACTAGGTGTTGACATTTTCTTTTTCTTTTTTAAAATTTTATTTATTCACTCATGAGAGACAGAGAGGGAGAGACAGATGCAGAGGGAGAAGCAGGCTCCCTGCAAAGACCCAGTGTGGGACTCCTTCCCAGGACCCTGGGATCGTGCCCTGAGCCAAAGACAGCCACTCAACCACTGAGCCACCCAGGTGCTCTTGGGTGTTGACATTTTCACTGTCATTGTGGGGCTTGAAGGGAAGGCTCTAGCCAGCCTGCAAAGAATTTGATCTCTCAAATGGGAGGCATTGAGAGATGTGAAGGCACAATATAAACGTCAGGTATTCTTTTTTTAAAAAAGATTTTATTTATTTATTTGAGAGAGATAGAGAGCACAAGTAGGGTGAGGAAGGGCAGAAAGAGAAACAGATTCCCTGCTGAGTAGGGAGTCCGATGTGGGGGCTCGATCCTGAGATTCCAGGACTGTGACCTGAGCCAAAGGCAGACAGACACTCAACCGACTGAGCCACACAGGTGCCTCAAACACCAGGTATTCTTACTCTATGTTTTCTCTCTTTACTCCCCAGAATGGCTTACATAAGAAGAGCCGGCCATCCCGTGCACAACATTTTTGGTGATTTTAGTGACATTTCCTTAGAAGATTCAAAAATGGAAGAAATCAGAAACTTGAAAATCAGTAGAAGTCTTACCAAAATAGCTCCTGGTCATAGCAGATTTCTAAAAGGAAACCAAACCATGGGTGTAGGACACTCACTCCTGAAAGACAAGGCTGTTGTCGAGGGTTGGCGCAGCCTGTCCTCGGGCAGACCCCCGATCACTGCCTCGAAGCTCAGGGCCAGCGCTGCACTCACGAAGCTGGCTCAAATAGAAACCAGGATCATGAATCGGAAGGCTCAGATGGATTTGTCTGACACGGAATCTGACCTGAAGACCTCTGAGGACAGTCTTCCAAGGAGTGCAGACATGGTCCTTCCCAGGAGTACAGCCAAACTTTCTCCACCCAGCCTGGATAAAACCTCCCAGAAACAAGCCCAGGAAATTCCTGTGGCTGAGAGCAGCACTCGGACTGGGAAGGGCAGTAGATTTCTAAAGAGGAGGGAACCACGCATTGAAAGTATCATCCCTGAGGCACATTTTGGAAAAGAGAGGAATTTCCAAACACCCGAAGAGAAAAAACCTACCAGAAAACTAGATTCTCCAGACAGCGATGAGGAGGAAATGAAAAAGTTGCTGGGAAGCTTGATAGAATCTTCTAGAGAAAAAGAAACATACATGAATCAGCGTTTCATCAGCCCCAAAGCCCATGAGAAAGAACAGACTAAAGTACTCTCGGTAAGGTTTGCATATGCACGTTTTCTTTTCTTTTTTTTTTTTCCTAAGATTTACTTATTTATTTGATAGGGGAGGGGCAGACAGAGAGGGAAAGAGAATCTTCAAGCAGACTCCCTCCTGAGTGTGGAGCCCGACACAGGGCTGGATCCCACGACCCACAGATCATGACGTGAGCCGAAACCAAGAGTCGGAGGCTTAACTAGCTAGGCCACCCAGGTTCCCCTGCATGTACTTTTTTATTTATTTTCTTAAGACTTTATGTATTTATTTTAGAGAAAAAGAGAGCATGAGCAAGGGGAGGAGAGGAGAGGGAGAGAGAGCGAATCTTAAGCAGGCTCCATGCCCAGTGCAGAGCCCGATGTGGGCCTCGATCTCCCGACCCTGAGATGACCTGAAATCAAGAGTCGGATGCCTAACCAACTGAGCCACCCAGGTGCCCCATGTGTACTTATATTTACAAAGCGTTGCCTCTGCTCTTTATGCCACGGCGCTAGAGACTCGACCGTGGCTGTCTTCTAAGAACTACTGAGGAGCGGTTGGGCTCCAGCCAATCATGGCTACCTGTTTTGGGGTCTGCTCTGTGGGTGACGGGATTTGGGACATATTAGGCAGTTTGCAATATCTGGAGGAAGTGTGTACACCTCGGGTCAGCACTTTGTGTGACTGCTCGCCAGTGGTGGTCCACACCTGCTTGTCGGTGGCACCACCGGGGAAACGTGCTGTAGCTGCACTTCCATTCCTTTACAGTTGAGATGAAATTCACAAAACGTAAAATTAACATTTTTTTTAAAGATATATTTTTATTTATTTATGATAGACAGAGAGAGAGAGAGGCAGAGACACAGGCAGAGGGAAAAGCAGGCTCCATGCACCGGGAGCCCGACGCAGGACTCGATCCCGGAACCCCAGGATCGCGCCCTGGGCCAAAGGCAGGCGCAAAACTGCTGAGCCACCCAGGGATCCCCAAAATTAACATTTTTAAGACGAACAGTTCAGCGCCATCTAGTTCATTCATGATGCTGTGCAACCACCACCCTCTGTCTGGTTCCAGAACATTTCCATCAGCCCCAAAGGTGACCTGTTAAATAATCACTCCTTGTTTTCCCCTCCCCCAGCCCCTGGCAACTTCTAATCGGCTTCATGTCTCTGTGGATTTGCCTGTTGGGGATGTTTCATGTACATGGAATCATCCAGTATGTGGCCTTCTGTGACTGGCTGCTTTTACTCAGCATAATGTTTTTTTTTATTTTTTTTTAAAGATTTTATTTATTTATTCATGAGAGACACAGAGAGAGAGAGGCAGAGACACAGGCAGAGGGAGAAGCAGGCCCCATGCAGGGAGCCCGACCTGAGACTCGATCCCGGGCCTCCAGGATCACACCCTGGACCGAAGGCAGGCGCTTAACCGCTGAGCCACCCAGGGATCACCAGCATAATGTTTTTGAGGTTCATCCACATTTTTGCATTTGTCAGGGCTTCATTCCTCTTTATGGCTGAGTAACACTCCATTGTGTGAATATACTACATCCTCTTCATCCACCATCCGTTGATGGGCACCTGGATCTTTTCTACCTTTTGGCTATTTGTGAATAGTGCTGTTATAGGGATCCCTGGGTGGCGCAGCGGTTTGGCGCCTGCCTTTGGCCCAGGGCGCGATCCTGGAGACCCGGGATCGAATCCCGCATCGGGCTCCCGGTGCATGGGGCCTGCTTCTCCCTCTGCCTGTGTCTCTGCCTCTCTCTCTTTCTGTGTGACTATCATAAATAAGTTTTAAAAAAATTAAAAAAAAATAGTGCTGTTGTGAACGCGTGTGTACACATATCTGAGTCCCTGTTTTCAGTTCTTTGGGCTCTCTCTATGAGTGGAATTACTGAGCCCTATAGGAATTCCACGTGTAACATAATGAGGCAACGCCACGCTGTTTTCCACAGCAGCTGCTCCATTTCGCGTTCCCACTGGCAGTGCACGAGAGTTCTCCTTTCCCTGCATCCTCACCAGCACTTGTGGTCAGAGCTAACACTGGTGACTTGAGGCATCTTTGTGGGTGTGAAGTGATGGGAAGGCTGCATTTTAAGGGGGAAAAAAATCCACACAGACATACTGATTCTGTTGAAGGTCCCAGCTGTCATGGATCATGTACTCGGGACTTCATTCATTCACTTATTTTACTTATTGTTTAAAAGATTTTATTTGTTTGAGAGAGGGAGAAAGAGAGCATGAGATGGGGGAGGGTCAGAGGGAGAAGCAGACTCTCCACTGAGCAGGGATCCCCGATGTGGGGCTCGATCCCAGGACCCTGAGATCATGACCTGAGTTGAAGGCCGTTGCTTAACCGACTCGGCCACCCCAGATGCCCCACAGGGCCCTTAATTTAGAAAAGGTGTAATTAAAAAAAAAATATTTGAAAGCCAAGTGATATTTCTGATTATTTGTGGAGTATTTCTGGTCTAAATGTTGTAGCTTGACTTCCAGAAATGAGGAAAGAAAGAGAACTATTTGATGGCTGCTCCTTGGCCTCATGCCTTGACCCAGCCACGTCGTTCAGTGATAAGGACTTCATTGTCGGGCAGCTCGGGTGGCTCAGCGGTTTAGCGCCGCCTTCGGCCCAGGGCCTGATCCTGGAGACCTGGGATCGAGTCCCACGTCGGGCTCCCTGCATGGAGCCTGCTTCTCCCTCTGCCTGTGTCTCTGCCTCTCTCTCTCTCTGTGTCTCTCATGAATCAATAAATAAAATCTTAAAAAAAAAATGGACTTCATTGTTACCTGTTTGGTAATTAATTTATTTATTTCCGCCAAAGTAGGATCAGATCCTAACTCAGCCAAGAATCCTTTCACTACCCAGTGAGGAACTTTCCAGCCCAAAGTCCTTTCGGATATCACGTCTGCCAGCCTCACAGTCCACAGACAGGACCCTTCGCAGCACGCGCTCAAGAGCTCGCTCCCCACGGACTCACACTTCAGAGGATACAGCCGCCCGCACAGCGTCGCTTCCCATCACTGGCACCTCTCCACAGTCAGCCTCAACGCGGCTTGGCAAGCTCTCCTCTCCCGGAAGGAGTGAGGCTGGGCCTCATGATGAGTCGCCCTCAGAAGCTGCCGATGACAGCCTGAACGGTAACCTGCAGCCCCATGCCACGCAGTCACCCTGGGCAGGAAGGGCAAGACCACCTGGAGGGGCTCTGGGAGGGAGGATCCCTGGGTATTGCCGTGAGGAGTGCATGGCTCACGCTACACCCTCTGCTTCCTGACCTTTCCTGGAGGAGGGGTCAAGTCAGAATTTTGTTCTGTCTTTAATGTCTTCATCCAGTGACCCTGACCAATTATAGAACGATAACCCGAAAACAAAGTCCTAGAGCCATGTACAGTAGAAGGGCAACTCAGTGTTCCTTTTGGTGAAAGACAAATTTGCCTCAATTTTTAAATTCAGAAAAGGAAGTAAATCTAACCAGTCACAACTAGACATTTTTATCATTTCAACATTATTCAACATTGTTTTTATCTTTTTAAAAATTTTGTTTATTTGAGAGAGAGAGAAAGGAGTGAACCCAAGCATGAACAGGGGGAGGGACAGAGGGAGCGTGAATCCCAAGCAGACACCCTGCTGAGCGCAGAGCCCAATGCGAGGCTCGATCCCACAACCCTGAGATCATGACCTGAGCTGAACCAAGAGTTGGACGCTCAATCAACTGTGCCACCCAGGCACACCAACATTATTTTTATCTTAATATTACACATATTTAGGGGTACCTGGGTGGCTCAGCAGTTGAGCATCTGCCTTTGGACCCAGGGTCCTGGGATCGAGTCCAGCATCAGACTCCCCAGAGGAGCCTGCTTCTCCCTCTGCTTTTGTCTCTGCCTCTCTCTCGTTGTCTCTCATGAATAAACAAGTCTTAAAAAAAAATTAAAACAGGAAAAAATGCCAACACTTCTGTCTTCTGTCTGGGCGCTTCATTATGAGATCCAAGTTAGACTGTGTCTTGACAGTCCACTGGGCGTTGGCACTCGCCTAGTATGTTGGCAGGAGGATGATGGCAAACAGGCCCGTGAGCACCCTGCCGCCCGCGTGCTGGGTGACCCGAACTCCGTGACTCAGTGGTAGGGGAGGAAAAATCGCTTTTTCCTTGTCTTTGCAACAAAAGATAGATTAACCGGAGAAAAGCATACAGATGTTAAATAAATATTAAATAAATATCCAATCTAAGTCTCACATGACATAGGAGCCTTCCTAAGGAAACGAAGACCCGAAGAATCAGTTGTATGTGAGCGCTTTTCTGCTAGGCTTGATGGGGAGTGGAAAGTCGTGGGAAAACGTGATTGCACAAAAGGGAAGGAGCTGAGGGTGGTCAATAGGCAAACCCAGTGAGGCCTGCTGGGATGCCTCCGGGCGTCTGTCCATCTTAGAAAGAGGAGGCTCCTCGCCTACATTAGAGGGAGGGCCCTTCTCACATGAGGGTCTTTGGAACTGCTTCGTGTGAGAAGGGCCGAGAATACTCACAGCACCTGCCGTTGCTCAGGTTCTTTCAGCCTGAGCTAATCAGTATGCCAAGGTGCCAGGTTTCGGGGTGGCGTGTCCTGAACACTGTCACAGACTCTTGTGGGTGTGCAGGCCCTGGTAGGGCAGCAGCAGATCTGCCGAGGTGTGTGTGTGGGGTGTTGCCAACAAAGGCGGCCCCTTCCAGGGGCCCTCGATGGGATCAGGGATCGCAGGGGGATGGGCTCTAGGCTGCCCATGTGAGAAGCCTCTGTGGGCCCCCTTAGTGGCTGCCATCTACTGGACGCCACATGGCACCTCGCTCACTGGGGCTCTGATCCTGGGGGCCAAGGGGCTGGTAAGTGGGTGTCCTTGTACCCCTGGTCCCACGTCACCTCGCTCAGCATGTGGATGGGAAGGTGGGCATAGGCTGGCACAGCAGGCCACAGACCCACCTTCCTGCCCTTCTGCCATTTGTCCCTACTGCCAGTCCCACTGCCTCTCTGTCCTCCCTGCCGGCCTGGAGAGGCCTCTCCTGGTGGCCAGCCCCTGCCCCCCCCCCCCATGTCCAGAGGTAGCCTCTGGGACGGGGAGGCACTTGGGAGTGGCAAACGCAATCTGAGTTTGGGCTCTTGCGAGAGGGGGACCTTCTGGGGTGGACGTCCTGGCCTCACGTCTTAACTGGTTGTGCAATCTTGGGCTCTCTGTGCCTCAGTTTCCTTGTCTGCGCAGTGGGGACCGAGCCATGCTAGTGAGCTAGTGCATATGAAGCACCTCGACTGGTCCTCCACAGGGTTGGCAGCGTGTAAGGGATGGCCGACGTGACGATAACATTGTTCCTCAGCCAGTGCCAGGCCTGTTCCCGAGTGCTCGAGTCCCAGATCACCCTAGTGCCTTTGCTCTGGGCCAGCTGGGACGCCTTTTGGTTCAGAGGCCTTTCCAGGGATGCATCTTTGGACCTGCCGGCCCTATGAACTGTGGTGACCGTGAGAGTCCGGGAGCTCAGGGGAGGGGTGAGCCCCCCGGACTGGGTGATGAGGGGGATTCATTCTAGGGATTAGGACGGGCAGGTGGCAGGGGGACCTCGCCCTCTCCCTCTAGCTCTGCTGACAGAGGGCCCTGCTCCCTCCTGTGCCCACCCCGCCCCCACCACCTGAGTGCGCTTCAGGGCCTGGGCTGCACCTGTTCATGTTGGTCCAGTGGTTCCTGCCTGCCTGCCTGGAGGCGCCGGTTCATCTGTTGGGTCCACAGAAATCAAGTCCCACGTCGGGCTCCCTGCATGGAGCCTGCCTCTCCCTCTGCCTGTGTCTCTGCCTGTCTCACTCTCTCTGTGTCTCGTGAATAAATAAATAAAATCTTTAAAAGAAAGAAAGAAAAAAAAAAAAAAAAGAAAGAAAGAAATCTGTGTGGAACACCAGAACTCTACAGGGGATTCTGGACTCCCAAGTCTCAGCACCCACGCGTTCAGGCGCTGGCACCTGGCCATTTGACGTGCCCGGTGCTGGTTCAGTTTAGCCTCCTGTGCTCTTGCCTTGCTTTCAGTGGGAACCTAGGACCCTTCGGGTCTAGCCTTGTGTCTGATGAGTTGTCCCCCCACTCCCACCCCCCCTACCGTGAGCACGCTTGTCACCACGCATCCTTCGCTGCATTGCCATCATTGACTCATCTGGCCCAGGGTCTGTTTTTATGAATAAAGTTTTATTGGAACACGGCCACATCCATTTGTTTACACACGGCCCATGGTGGCTCTGGCACCACAAGGACCAGGTTGAGTAACTGTGAGACGGTCGAGGATACAAAGTGGAAAACACTTAGACCAAGAGCGTGTAGATCCATGCGCTGGCTCATTAAGGACAGACCCGCACGCTTCCTGTGTTTCTGTCCTTCGCCTTCACCTGGTGCCTTGCACGTAATGGTAAACACGTTGGGGTAAATAAATGAGTAAACGTTGCCATGTTACGTTTTTGATTACAGATTTTAGAATCAATCTGTTGTCCCTTGATGACCTGGCTCCAGCTGTCAGCGAGAACTCAGACCTGGAACAGAGAGTGAGTACAGCCCGCTTCACCTCTCCCTGCAGGTTATGTGGAAAGGCTCGTGGCTGTTGTGCTTCATTCGGGCCCTCGGTCCTTAGCCCCCAGGGGACATGCGGTGTTTGGAGAACACACTTGGTTATCAAGACGGGGTGGAGGCTGCTCGTGGTATCTCATGGGTGGTGGCCGGGGATGCTGCTCAGTGGCCCACGATGCACAGGACGGCCCCACTGCAAAGAATGTTTGGGTTTTTTTTTTTTTTAAGATTTTATTTATTTATCCATGAGACAGAGAGAGAGACAGAGAGAGAGAGGCAGAGACACAGGCAGAGGGAGAAACAGGCTCCATGCAGGGAGCCCGATGTGGGACTCGATCCCGGGACCCCAGGATCACACCCTGGGCCGAAGGTAGGCGCTAAACCGCTGCACCACCCGGGCTGCCCGAATGTTTGGGTTTTAAATGCCAAGAGTGTCCCGGGTCGGGGACCCTGATGTAGGTGATAACAGGATAAAGCTACTCCGTGTAGCAGACCACTGAAGCAGCTCCCACTAAACCACCCTGTAGCGACACCCCATGACCTGTGCCCATCCCGGGGCCTGACTGTGATTCTTGTCGAGTTAGTAACCTCCTCCCTACTGAATGTGCGTTGTCATGATACGTGCTGACATTTTAGCAGACTCATCCACGGGCCACCAGCACGTGCTCACCCCATCAGTGTTAAAGTGCAGCAGCCTCGAGCTGAAGCATTTATGAGTTCTGCTCCCCACCCTGGGCCTGCCCAAAGCTGCTGAAGGACCAGTGTAGACCCTTACCTGCTGGGCCCCCTGGGTACCCTGTACCCCATTCCAGTGCAGGGGTATTTTGAGCATATTGATCACGTAAAGCCACTTTCCAGTTACCTCTCTCATTCTTCGTTTTAGAAAGAAGGCCAGCTGGAAAAGGCCTTCAGCCCACGCCCCCAGGCAGGGGGTCCCCCCACTGGCAGTGAGGTCTCAGAGTGCGTGACTGAGCCATCCGCCGCCTCCGCCAGGCCCGACGGTGCTCCTAGCCCGAGGCCGACGTCCCAAGAGCCCATGGCGAGCACAGTGAGCTCAGCTTACTCCGAAGATTTTGAAACATCCCCAGATCCAACGGCATCCGAGTCGAGGGCCCATCCTGAGGAGTCTCCCGACAGGATGCTGAACACTTCGTCAGAATTCTCTGCAAGCCTGCACACAGACCTTCCCCTGCCGACCGTCAAGCCTTGGAAAAAGCAGGTCAGGGACGTTACCAGAGTTGTGGTGAGAGAGATGGCCGTGCAGACCCTCGATCCTGCCTTCACCTACCAGTGGGCAGAGGGTGAGCATGCGGGCCCCAGGAGGGAGACACGGGCTCTAGGTGCGTGCCGCGGGCATCCTGGCAGCACGGTGAAGAGCTTCGGGTCGTCATCAGTACCCAGCTGGCGGGCCTCAGGGCCCCATTTCCTCTTCCAAGGATGAGGGGCAGCTGCCCTGGCGGTTTGCCGCTGCCCGCGGAGCTCTGAAACATCCTGAAAGGTTTCAGGATCAGTGACCCAGGAAGTGCTTCTCATGGTAGTGATCCTGTCCCCGGGGGACTTCAAGGTTGGTGCCAGTTGTAGATGTCGCTACCGGTGACAGTGGAGTGGGTAGAGGCCAGGGATGCTCCTCAGGGTCCTGCAGTGCCCAGAATGGCCTCACCAGACAGTGACCCAGCCCCAGACATTGGCACTGCCCAGGTGAGCCTGGGGACAGCACTGAGAGCAGAACCACCTTCTGGGACGGTGTGTCCTCAGGTGGCTTGGGAGTCCCTGCACGGGGGCTTCCAGGGCAGCTGGGTAGCCAGTCTAGCTGGTTGTCTGAACTCAGTGTGTTTGGTGGGTTCCCTCCCATGGTGCAGGCGACGTTTCTCTTCACACCCAGGCATGACTTCCAGACATTTCTCTTACCCCTAGCTTCAGTCTTGACCCATCTGAATGGAAAGGTCCCTTTCTTTTAAACATTCTTCACTCTCTTCTCATCTAGATGGACACCCACGGTGTCACCAGAGCTTTTTCCTGGACTGTGCAAGGGGGTGGAACTCTCACCTGTGTTCATTTTGATTTGGGGGGGCTTAGCCATAGATCAGCCTGGGCTGCACCCCAGTGAAGGGCATGCCCATTCTCTCGTTTCTCGGGGAGGAAAGTCAGATGCGCTGAGTCACATCGCTGGAAGGTGTTTAAGGGTACTGGAAGCCCGGTTCTGTGACTCAGAAACCTCTGTTTTGCTCTCCACAGCCTCCTGCTGCCTGACAGCATAGCGGTTGTCAAATGCAGACAAACGTGTGCATTTCTGTCTTATTTTGGAATTTATTTATTTATTTATTTTTAAAATTTTATTTATTTATTTATTCATGAGAGAGAGAGAGAGAGAGAGGCAGAGACACAGGCAGAGGGAGAAGCAGGGAGCCCGACGCGAGACTCGATCCCGGGACTCCAGGATCACACCCTGGGCCAAAGGCAGGCGCTAAACCGCTGAGCCACCCAGGGATCCCCATTATTTTGGAATTTACAGGGAGCTTTTGTAAAGTGCAGCTGATGCTGTTTTCCTAGACCAGGCCTGACATTGAGAGGAGAGGAAAACAGCCTAAATAAACGGGCTTATCAGAATCCGGGGAACAGTCTGAAGCCTGCATGTGACCCTGTGGAAGGAAGGCCAAGGGTGGGGAGAGCGTGATGTCTGGGTTACCTGCCAGTGTGACTGCAGTGACTGCTTGAGCCAGCTCAACTGACTTGTACCCAGAGAATCTACCAGAAAGATGGAGGCAGGCCTGGGGAAATTGTACAGAGGTAGAGGTTAACAGAGCAAGAAGGGTGGCTGTCCTGTCGGGAGGAGAAAAGATCAGACTTGTGTAGCCTGTTTCACATCCATCCGCTGATGAGTGGCGTCGCTCCGCCTCCTGCCCACTCATCCCCTCCCCTCTGTCCCTGGGACAGGGGCCGGCGTGGCGGCCATCGGGCCAGCCCTGGGAGGTGCCTACGTGGATCCTGTGCCCGTTGCCAGTCATGTCATCAGTGCGGACTCGATAGAAGGTAAGAGCCCAGCCCGGCGGGGCCTGGCGGCGAGGTGGAGGCAGCTTAGCTACAGATCCGCGCTCACTGTGGGAGGGGCGGGCCCCACATTAGTGCTGGATTCCGGGAATCTGTTGGTGACATTGTTGCAGTCATGGGCAACTGCCATGGTTCCTGGGATCCTAGAACCTTCAGTCTGTGTTGCCAAAGGACACCCGTGTCAGATAACACAGGGAAGTTACGGGCAGCACCCCTCTGCCCCTCTGCCCCTCTGCCCCTCCACGCCAACGGGGCTGTTGCTGTGGGTTCCCCTCTGAGCCGTTGTGTCCAGAATACATGTAGTTTTTCCTCAGCCGGTACTGAGTGGCGGCCACAGGCCTTGGCACCTTGGCGAGTGCGGGGAGTGGCCGGGTCCCAGGCGGCCTGGCCTGCGGTGGAGGAGGCCCCAGTAGCCACCATCAGGAGCCCAGGCTGCATATGGGGCCACTGGCGGCTTGAGGGACACAAACTAGAGTCCGCCCAGTACCGGTTATGTTTTTGCCCTCTTCAGTTTTTTTAAAGATGAAGCTACTAAAACAGCGGTACAACAACGGGAATGTTGCTGTCCCTGCAAACAACTCTCCCGTTTAGCTTACTGTTACCCCAGGGAGTGGCCCGGGGTGTTAGGAGGCCTCCCAGTGACCTTTCCAACGTGGGCGCACAACTTCCGGTTTCCGATGAATTTTGATTTAATTAAAACTCTTATTTTTAATTGTATTTTCACTTTTAATTACTTTAGTTTTGTGTTTCCAAACACATAACATTTACCCCCTTAGCCATTTTTAAGTGCCGGGTGAGCGGCACCGAGAAGGTCCCCATGGTGCGCGTGCGGCACTCGTGGTGCCACTTTACTGGGCTTGTTCCTGCGGGTTGGACGTTTGGTTAAGACTTTGGTTAAGACCCGCGGGCCTGCCTGGCCGCTGGCCTCCCACGTGTGCAGCTCTTGAGAGTCCCTCGCAAGCCATCGGCAGGGACAGCTGGGCGCTCTGGTCCCTCTGGTGGCCGCATGGGGGCGCTGCTGAGCACGCGGGCCCAAAGCGGCTGACCTCCCCCTGCCCTGGGGGTCACGGGGAAGGGGGTGCGCCAGAGGAGTGACCAGAGCCGGTGCAGCCCTGACAGCTTACAGCCCGGCCGTGTTGGCGCTCCACGACATGCTGAAGCAGCAGCTGAGCCTGACGCAGCAGTTCCTGGAGGCCAGCCGCCACCTGCACGGCTCCCTCGTGCGGTCCCTGGATCAGGACTCGTTCCACTACCACACCCTGGAGGAAACCAAGCAGGTGACTGTGGCGCACACCCCTTCCCGGGGGGAGGGCGGGAGCCTCTGTGCCAAGGAGGGGGCCTCGGGGCCACTGTACACCCAAGTCACCTGCGGTCCCCCCAAAGGAGCCCTGTCCTCGGAGCGGAGGCAGACCCTTCCCAAGCTCTGCCCGCGGGCTTCCTCCTCAGTCAGCTGAAACGCAGAGAATGGCACACTCACTTCTTTCTCCCCAAATCTAATTTTTGTCTGATTATTGTTATTTTTTTAAAGATTTTATTTATTCATTCATAGAGACACACAGAGAGAGAGAGGCAGAGACAGGCAGAGGGAGAAGCAGGCTCCATTCACGGAGCCTGACGCGGGACTCGATCCAGGGTCTCCAGGATCACGCCCTGGGCTGCAGGCGGCGCTAAACCGCTGAGCCACCCGGGCTGCCCTTTTTGTCTGATTATAAACAATCCGTTCTTTTCATAAAAATGTTGTTAGAGATAGGGGATTTATAAAGCCCCCCATGACGTCAGAGGTGATTGTTACCACCTTGAGGTTCTTTAGGTCTTCCCCGTGTAAAACATGAACTACATTGTATATAAAATGTACAACATTGCATGTTACTCTATATTCTAAAATATACATTACAGGGACGCCTGGTGGCTCAGCAGTTGAGCATCTGCCTTTGGCTCAGGGCGTGATCCCGGGGTCCAAGATCGAGTCCCACATCAGGCTTCCTTTCCTGCTCTTAAAAAAAATAAAGAGAACATTATACCTATTGGGTTGTAATATATGTTTTATTTTTTTACTTTTCATTTTTAAAAAAGATTTATTCATGAGAGGCACGCAGAGAAAGGCAGAGACATAGGCAGAGGGAGAAGCAGGGTCCCCCACAGGAAGCCCAATGTGGGGTTCGATCCCAGGACCCTAGGATCACGCCCTGAGCCAAAGGCTGACGCTCAACCGCTGAGCACCCAGACGTCCCAAATGTTTTTAGTATTGTTTCTTTCTTTACAGAGATGGCATCATGCTAGATGAGCTGCTCTGCATGGTGCTTTCTGTCCTCGTACCTATAAATACTTCAGTATATGGTTCTCAAAACAAAGGACTTTTGAAAAATATGGTCACGATACCATTATAGTACCAAAGCCCAATGGGATTAATATCCAGTTTTAGATTTTCCCTTGTCTTATGAAAGTTGCATTTTGTTGCTTTTTCATCAGAACCCAAGATTCACACACCAAGATCATCTAGGGTCTTTTTAGACTCCTGCTCAGAGCTGTGGCCCTCGGCTCTGGGCAGCGTCAGAGCCGGGGCGCCTTTGGGCACCCAGGACCCACCGTGAGAGCCGGTGCCCTGCAGATTCCCCTGCTCCCGCCCCCCCCCCCCCCATGCTTCCTTGCACTTTATTTGTTCAAGGAAGCAGGTGGTTTGTTCGGCGATATCCCCCATTCTGGACTGTCCATGCACCCCTGCAGCCCCTGCAGAATCCTTTTACTTGGGTTGATGGGCTACAGCTGGAGGGCTGGAGCTGCCACCTGCCTGCAGCCCGCCATGGCTCGGCACAGCCTGCTCTGGGCCCTCGTGCTGGGGTGCTGGGAGTGGCACCCAGGCTCCACGCTCTGAGGGAACCCGTAGCCCCACTCCCAGCCACCGTCCTTCCTCCCTTTCAGGCCCAGTCAGGGCTCGCCCCTCGCAGGCTGCCTGCCTGGAGCCCGTCTGGGTTCATTGCATTTCCACAGCACTGTCACGCCATTTTATTTTCTGTCCGCCTGTCCGGGACCAGTGGGGACAGGCGCTGCCTCTAACACCCATGGCCTCGGTAGACCGAGGCAGCAGGGTGACATGTCTGTCCTGTGCCCCACAGTACCTCAGGCGGCATAGGCCTGCCCCGCTGTCCATGGAGGACGCCCTGGAGGAGGTGAAGAAGGAGCTGAGTACCACGAGGTGAGGCAGGATTTGTGGGTTTGAGCTAACACGCTGGCCAGGCACACCGGCTCTGACACGTGTTGTTTCCCAGGTGATGGTGGCAGGAGCAGGCGGCACCAAGACTCCCCTGAGTGGCATCCCGGGTCCAGCCTTTCGGAGCGGAGTGGTTCTCCCCCAGCCCCCACCTCCTTGCTGTGCCCGGTGCCCCGCCCGAGGGGACACACAAGCCAGCGGAAACGGAACCCTGGGTGGCGCTGTCACCAGCCACAGCAGGATGTAGGACGGCTGTCTGTGGAGCCCCGCGCAGCAGCCGTGGGGGCCAGGTGCTGGCTTCCTGATGAGCTGAGGCAGACGGGAGGGTGAGAAGCCCCATCTGCTCCGCGGAGCCAGCGCCAGGTGTCCACACCAGGGACAACATGTGGGACGCCGGGACACGCCTCCTCCAGACCCTGCCTGAGCACACTTCTAACTCCAACACACGGAGAAAGAGGTCTTTAAAAAAAGTTTTTATTTGAAGGCAAAACAGTAAAATCCACAAGAAATCGTTAACAGCACGTGTTTACGTTTTATCCTGAATCAGACACGTTTGAACAATTCACAGCTACAGGAAATCTAGAACAAAATCAAATATCTTATCACATCAGGTCGAAAAGTTGGAGAGGACTTTGCATCTTATTGAAAAGAATTTTTCAAAAATGTTTCTGTACAAAGAGACGGCGCCACACGAGCTGCCCACAGACGCCAGGCGTGGCCAGTCCCCACGCAGGCCCCAGCGGCGTCTGCCCTCCTGGCCTGGCCTCCCTGGGTGCTGGGCTGGCCGAGGGAGAGCCGGGGGCGCCCTCCACACCCCGGTCTGTGCGGGCCGTCCACGTGAGCGCTGGTGTCGGGTTCCTCTAAGTGAAAAACAGGCAGAGACGCTGAGGGTGCGGGCTCTTGGAGGGCGTCGCTCCGTGACCTGAAGATGCCTCAGATCAGTTTCTTTAGAACCCGTTTCTGCAGGGACAGCCAACGGCTAATGTTTGGGGAAAAAAATTTCAACTCAAACAACTAAAGTAACTGAACTACGGGCTGGCAGGTCTTAGAGGAATCAGGTTGCAACTTCTCCCTGGGATCCTCTGAGATCAACATTCCCTTCTCTCAAACTAAACATCTGGAGTAAAAACGAAGACCCTGTGTCACTCTGCCAATCAGAAAGGGTCTGTTTTTCTGTTTTGTCACCAGTGCCTGGCTGAGCTGCCGGGGCGCTCGCCCAGGGCCTGTGCTCCACACGCTCCTACCGGTCTAAGCAGGAGCTCAGAGCGGCCTGTGGGGGGTGCGCAACAGCCGTGCCTTCGGGTGGCAGGGATTCTCATCCAGGGGTGGAGGTGGAGGGTCTCGTGTCTCACTTCTGTCAGGGGAAGTAAGCTCGTGGCCGTGCTGGCCGGGGGCACCTTCTGGTGGGTTCTTGCTTCTACTTTAGAGCTGGTTTGCAGGCAGGGCCCGGGGCGTCCAACGTGGTGGCGCATGGCACTCCTCACTAGGCATGCTGTGGTCTTCCTTCTCTTCTGTCGCTCCCCGGAGGTGGAGACTGTGAGAACCGAGGTGTCCCTACCGTCTGTCACTGCCAAGAAGCCAGGAAGGTCCCACGGCCCGACGCGGTGGCCGAGGAGTGGCTCCTGCCCACGGAGTGCCTACTTGCACTCGTCCCTGGCCTTCATGCGGGCGATGAAGGAGTAGCTCTTGTTCCGGCGGTAGTTCTCGTACGGATCGTCCAGGGCCACGCCCACACCCTTGTACTGGTCCCACTTGTCTCGGACGTCGCCCCCCTTGATGGGGTCCTGGATCCCTTGCTCTTTCACACCGAGGCCACCAGATCCACTCCAGCCTTAGGAAGAAAGGGGGGAGGGTGGTTACAATGCACAAAAGTCAAACTCCGGCACATTTATCCACGAAGTTAAACCAGACCTCACGTGCAGAGCCAAACGACACGCACGTGTGTGGCTTACAAACGTCAAACTGTTGTGGTGAGAGACAGCACCCAGCGACAACTCTACAGGCTCGGCCTTTCCAGTTCTGGCCACGAGCTGGAACCTTCCCTGGCTCCCCAGCCCCAAAAGCCCAAAGTGGTTGATGGTTCTTCCCAGGAGCCTTACCCATTTTCACCAGCATCTGATGTCCTTTGTTTTCTTCCCCGAGCCTTGAATCAGGTATAGGAGGTGCTGAATTAGAACCCAGACCAGCCGAGGAACTAAAATTAAGACAGGTTACGTTTTTTAAAAAAAGAGTCGAGACATTTATTGGAATGAAAACGCTTAGAATATTACAGCATGTGGCGTATGCGAACATTCACCAGTGTTAGAGGGTCACACACACAGCCCGGGGCTCTAGCCTTCTTCTCGGTCATCTTCGCCAGCCAGGGAGGGGAGCTCCCCAAGGAGGCCCCAGCCCCACACCGTGCAGCCAGGGCAGGCCACGCGGAACCCCAGGACCGGTCACAGCCCAGCCGCTACGTCAGGTGTTACAACTCTACCATAAAAAGTTTAAGAGCGTGGTGTGAGATGAGGAGGTGCCACTGTCACTGTGCTAGAACTCAGGGTCCCTGAGGCACCGCCTCAGCACGGGCCACTGTGAGCACATCTTCTAGCGACAGGTTTCAACATTCACAGCAAAGCATCAGAGGGTTCCAGAGCTACCGGCGATCACTGGACAGTTAAGACAGAAATCTTACGGCGGGGTGGGACTCCTGGAGCGTGACCGACGTCTCCTTCCGGGGGAGTAGGACTTGGAGCGGGAGCGCGAGCGGGAGCGGGAGCGGCTTCGGGAGGAGCGGGAACGGCTGCGGCTCCTGAGAGAGGAAAGGACAGTCGGGTCAGCAGGTGGTGGGCATGGGTGCTGGTGGGGGGTGGGGGCCTCGGGGCACACCAGCTTACCTGGAGCGGGAACGGGAGTAGGAACGGGAGCAGGAGCGTGATCGGGACCTGGAGTATGAGCCCGACGACTTGGACGACCTCGAGTTGGAGCGGGAGGAAGAGCGCCCTCGGCTTTTGGACCGGCTCCGTGACCGCGAGGGCCCACTGCAGGGAGAGGCCAGGTGAGCGGCTGGCCCTGGATGTGCTGCTGCCCACCGAGGGCCGTGCTCCCCAACGCTTTGGGCCTTGTGGGAAAACCCACCCCCCAACCTACACGGAGGCCGAACTGACCCCCCACTGCCCTGGAGGGACGACAGGATGGCCCTGAGTGTGACTCCAAGGTGGGTCTGCCGCAGCATGTGACGGGCACAGGCCAGGACGCACTGGCTGGGAACCCAGGATGGCTGCATGCGGGCACCTCCACGCTCACCTGTTGCGCTTCTCCTGGCCCTTCCTCCGCCGTGCCCGCATTTTTGCTCGAAAGAACTCATAGAGACCATTCTGCTCCCAGCCTTCGCTGTAAGACATGGGCGTCCCCTGCGTGATTCTGCAGCCTCCTCCCGCAGGGAACTCATGCAAGTCGGCAGGAGTTGACCTGCCAGACACGCGTCCCGGCATGTGGCCCTCCCGTCCCTCACCCACTCAGAGGCTGAGCAGGGCCCAGCACGACGGGCTGCCCTTCCCCGCACGAGGAAGCAGGCTGAGGTCGGGCGGCCCACTGGGAAGCAGAGAGGCCAGGCCGCACGCCTGGTTCCCGTGCCTTTCCACACTGATGTTTCCCGAAGTAGCCCAGGTGGCTCTTCCTGCCTGTGATCTTCCTAACTGGGGACAAGGAGCTCTGACTCCTAGATGGACAGGCCTGTGACCCAGCACAGGGCAGGAGGTGGCTTTAGCCAGACTGGTGATAAGTCTATGGGAGGGGGGTCAGGAGAGGGGCTGCCTGCACCCAGCTGCCAGCCGCCCCTGAAACACCCCACCCCTGAGATGACAACTTGCACTAAACAGCTCAACGAGAGGCCCTGCGGTGAGGGCCACTGTAAGTGTGACACACGTTACCCATGGCCAGTAGAGAGAGGGACCCTGACTCGGCCTAGCGTTTCACAGGACACCCCATTTCCTCACCGGGGCTTCACACCACCCTGGGTAGAAGGCATGGTCATTTAAGAGTCTCATGAAGCAATCTCAGGGGAAGTCAGGTTAAGAGACGGGACAGAGGCCTCCCCATCCCCCCACCGCCGGTCCCTCCAAGCATCATACCTGTTCCTGGGCCTGTCATGGGACGGGGGGCTGTAAAAGGCCTCTACAGCGGCCAGCAACCTCTCACTGGGCGGCATGGGGGGCGGGAGGCGGATGTCTTTCGGGTCCAGAGGCTTGTACTCATGGTCTTCCAGCTGCAGTGGAGAACAGTTGTCATGCACGCCCTGCCAGAGGCCCCCTCAGGCCCACCCGGGGTGCTACAGCGACAGGGGGAGCAGGTCGGGGGACATAGGGCCCTGGTGCGGTGTCAGGGTTACCCTGGGCATCATAGCTCCTCCTCCCGATTCCTGGGGGACCCATTAGGGCTGCAGCCACACCAATGATCCGATTCCTAAGTAAGGTGGTGGAGAACTTCTCTGGGGCCAGTGAGGGCCTGAAGTTTTCTCTCCAGAAAACACATGTTCTCCAAGTAGGACTGATGGGAAAGACCCCTGGGTTCATTCAGACGTGACGTGGATCCCAGATGCCACCGCCTGCAGACTTCTGTCCTGTGCTCCCGAGTCCTACTCCCTACCCTGGGGCCCCTCCCAGGTCAGAACAGCCTCAGCCCCACCCAAAGAACCCCTCGCTGCCTGCAGCCCGAGAAATATGGCCCTTCTCAACTTCCAGTCTGACGGGGCCTCAGAGGGGATGGGAAGCGACTCCTCCGTCAGCAAGTCTCTCAAGCTAGAGCTGCTCCCGACGACGCAGCCTCGCTCCCCTGGCCCCCAGCACTGCCCTCCCCATGCTCCCTGCAGGCCTTCCTCAGAGGCCGCCCCTTCTGAGAAATCCCTTCCCAGTCAGCTGCTGGACAAGGTGGCTGCCCAGGGCCAGGATCGAGGGAACCCACACTTCACACCCAGCCTGGCACGGCTCACTATGGGTGGCCACAGAATGTCCAACACCAGGGGGGACACGCAGAAGGAGCAGAGGGGACCACGGGCCTCAGGAATTCAAGTGGAGGGAGAGGCACTGGCCAGGGCACGTTTGCAATGACTAGTCAGTCACGTTCACCGGGCAGAGGAAAGAGCATCTCACGTGGAGGCCCCGGAAGCGGCACACTAGGAGGCTGGGTGCTCGCCATGGCGATGTTACCTTCACAAGGGGAGCCATCAGCCCGGCAGGCAGATCGAAGTAGGGCACGTTGGGGACCAGGCTGGGGTCATCATGGTTGATGTGGGGAGGGCCCTGTCGCCGCATGTGGGGTGGCTGCCCGTTGAAGCCGTGAGGAGGAG